TTGTGCATTCAGTGAACAATCTTCTATCCTAGATTTGAAGTTTCCGTGACTGCAAGGATTCATACATACTCTTTAGTTTTTTGGGTAAATTCACGTAGGTAAAAAAAAAATCTAATATACGATGTGGAAGTGGCAGGGGTTGTTAGCAGGAGGAGTGAAATTAACGAACAGCATTCTTAACCAACGCACTGTATGCACATTGACCCATGGGACACACATTTTGAATTACATCCGTGTACATGAAATCGAGTGTCAGTTCACAGCAGCATCAAACGTTTCGGTCTGTGCTGTCTTTTGCCTCTTTTGGGTTTGACACGGCTGTGAAATATACTGCCCTTGCGATGTGTTCCTACAGATTGAGGGATTAAACGACCCCACGAGTTGGTAGTAGGGCTGAAGGATTTGGGGAAAATATCTAATTGCGATTTCTCTGACAAATATTGCGATTTCATTTGCGATTACATTTTTTTAAGTCAAGCTTCAGTTCAATATTCACTGTGTAATGGATTTAAAACATGTGATGGAGCATTACCACACGATACCATCAACATATGAACTGCTCTATATATTCTAATGCAAGGATGATAACTTAAAATATTAGAATTGCTTCCAACGTGTATTTATTTAAATGTTTTAATTGAAAAAGAACAATGAAACACAGAACAATTGTTAAGTTAAATAAATTAAGTTATAATAATACAAAATAAATCAATTCCAATAAGAAAGTAACAGGACTTTTCAAACCGCAAAAAAATCGCAGCCTTTACGATTTGCTAATCGCATTATTTAAAATTGCGATTTCGATTTAAAAACGATTCATCGTTCAGCCCCAGTTGGTAGCACTCCCGAGGCATCGCCTTGCCTCGCGATGCTATTCCTCTAAATCCGAGGGACGAGATATGTGGCTCCACGAAAGGCTGTCACTGCCAAAGGCATCGCCAATAACCACGACACCACAAGCAGCTTAGCCGGATTTCCGTGCAGTCTATCAGCAAAGCACACGGCGTCCGCACATTTCATCGCGCAACTGACATGCGGCCGCATTAGCAGGATGCAAATAAAGCACAACATTCAATTGCTAAGGTCAGGCTATCAGGGATATCGCTTGCTCCAATTAGCATCGTTAAAATAAACTGCAACCGGCGCGCACAGGCAGATGCCACGCGCGGAGAACGGAGATGAGAACAGACACAGCAGGGCAAGCCGGCTTCACTCACGTGGATGATGCACGGCCACTCGACTGGAAATAACGTACGTGGCCTTAGCGCGGCCGCTAATGGAAAGCAATTAATACGTTCACAATAGGGAGCTCGTGAGGAAGGAATGTAATGGGTGGAAACACACGGCCACTCAATTAACATAGCCCCACATTCTCAAACGGACATCTCGATCGCGGTCGATATTGCAATAATCTACAAAGACACACGCTGCTTGCCGTTTACACATATATGTTAAATTATCACAAGTTTATTACTGTTCTTCTTTCAGAGTTATGCGCACACAAATTCTGTCGAGTGTACGGCTTCCATGACAATGGAATGCGCCCTTCTGCCTTTTGAGACCGGCCCTAATTGGAAGCGACTCGCGTGGTCTGTTTTGTCAAAATGTGTAAATAATTCACAGACGGATGACGATCTTGGTAAAACTAGGACAGGTGGCAACCCTCCTTTGAAACGATCGCAGTCACCGTATTCTCTACTGCGGAGACTCTAGACGTGTGAGACAATGCCAATTTAGCCATGCTGCTTGCTGCATTGGCAGTGGTGCACAGCTCACTGTGAATGGAACAGCAGCAAAACAACTCAACACATTGATGAATAACACTGTGGCCTTAATAGATGTTTTTTTTTAAATAGGCAACGTTTTGGCCAATGGGCCACCTTCACAGCACACGGAGGACCATTTCCCGAAACGTCACCTTGCATACATTTTTTTTAGGGCTACAGTGTTACTGGCGAATGAGTCAGGGCGTGTGATGGGTGACTCATCTTTCCCAGCGGTTCCATGCATTGCCGCAATCAAGGGCCCTAATTATTTTCTAGAATCATGTTTTTTTATATATGTACTTGTGAAAATCGCTGCCTCTGGTGAACCTACAGGGGTCACGTTAACCCATGACAGATAACATAATAATATAAAGTATCACACTCTGTCAATCCGCTGTTGGATGAAGGCCTCCTCAATGCTATGTGGTGGTCATAGGGGTTGCTTCTTTGTACGATACTTCACTATTCTTTGGCACGTGTCGTGAAGGGTACTGCAAGATCCGACCATGTCCGTCGAGTGCTCGCTGAGCTGCATTGGCTTCCAGTTTGCCCAACGAATACATTACAAGGTGGCATGGATACTGTGAAGGATAAATATACCTTGTCGATCACATCAAGAAGCACATATCATCACGCAAACTCCAGTCATCCTCGCTCGTGGCTTTTTAACCAGCGAACAAAGACGGTCATCGCGAAGCGTTCCTGTCAGATGCGCTTTTGCGGCCGTCTGGAACGCTCTCCCTTCCGATATTAGGACGCCACTGGAGCTGTGCACTTTTAAATCTAAATTGAAAACTACATTTCTTAAGAATTGCATTTTTGTGTTTAGTTTCGTTGCCCTTCCTCCGCACCTCCTTATTGGCACGGTTGGCTACGTACGGTGCGAAAGAAGTTCAACGTGCATACATGCCACACTGGTTAGCGCGAGTTGTTGAAGCAAGAGAGGGGGGGGGGGCGGTAGGGGTGGTGCAGGGTGACAGATATCACTGTGCAGCTGACGTGAGTGATAGAAGGGCCTCCCCTACCATGCATATTGCTGCCACTTTATATGTTCAGAATGGCCGTAATTGCTCCACTGTGGCAGTCATTATCTTTTTCTTCTCTCAAGGACAGAAAGTACACATCCCACAAATTCTCAATAAATTGAATATTGTAAAGCATTCTAATAATTCATGTGCAAATGACCGCACGCATTGTCAAAGAAAGGGTTGCAGTGTTTGGTTATCAAGTGTCCCCAGGCATGCTGATTGCTGTAACTGTTGTTTAATCAAGGAGACGTGAAGAGAATTCCGTCAACTCCTTTTTACGAATGACTCCTGGTGCACAAGAGGTATCGTGGGTTCGATCCTGGACCCTGACGATGCCTGTTGTTGTATATTTGGAGTATCGTGTGTTCTCTCTCTCTCTCTCCTTGCGACGGTCCCGTGATTTTCTTCTTCTCCGGTTTTTTGTCTCCCCCCCCCACCCCTCTTCCACATTTAGAAACAACATGCGCCTTTGATTACACTGGTCAACACACTTTTTCTGGCATAAGGTATTCCAACGGTTTTAAGGTAATTTTGGGGTGCTGATTCCAAATCTGGCATCAGTTTTTTGTCTATCACATCAGGTTTTTGAGATATCAAATATTGCATTTTCAATAAAACTGCAGAGGAAAAATATTAAATAAATGCGGATATCTACATAAAATTATATTATAAACACACTATCCTAAAAATACAGCACCATATTTTAACACTAAAGCAGTCACTGACTCGCAACAACTTGCAATCATAAGTGACAGAGTTAATTTCGGGTAAAATCAATGAAAATGGGGTATGCCGATAGCATACAAATGAGATGTGATAGAGCAAATCTGAGATCAGATTTGGAATCAGCACTCTGAAATTAATCTTAAACAGCTGTAAAAGTCCAGGCCAGAAAAATTTGTCTTTTTTTTTGTTGACCAGTGTAAATTGGCTCCTGTTATACATTCCCACGTGCGACGATGATGAGATGAGCCACTGTGACGAGCGATCACGTGGTGGCCATTTCGCCTCTGAAACAAGAGCTAATGGCTCAGTGGGGCTTTAATACCTGGCACTGGTAGGAACCTCCTGGTTACACCAGCCCACAGATGATTATTGTGTCCGTCGTGCAGGGAAGGGCTGGGTGGGGAGGGAGGAGCTGGGTGGGGAGGGGAGGCTGGGGAGGGGCTGGGTGGGAAGGGTGGGGCTGGGTGGGTTGTGGGAGGGGTGGGGCTGGGTGGGGAGGGGCTGGTCACCCCGTGGTGCCCTTATAAAACTCAACGTTTAACCTACTCACGCCGGCTTGTGCCCGCCCTCACAGTCGGGCATATTTGCGGAATACACCACGCCGCCGTTGACCCTGCAGGCCATTGACCGAGCAACCCAACGTTCCTACCAGCTCCCTCCGCAGGAATGTGTTAAATAAACAGTTTTAATTTTACACAGTCAAAAGTCACGACTGCTCGTACAAAATGAATGTTATAGAGTTCGTGTGTGTGGCTTTTCACGTTTTGTTTTCGATGACAGGGAATGTATACAATCCACAGGAGGAGAAAACATGACTACAATGAACCAATTGAAGACTAAATGTGTCAAAAAATCAGTTACCGTATTCTCATGATATTCAGACACACTTTTTCCCCCTTTCATTTTAAAGTAAAAGTTGGTGGGTGCTTCTGATACACACGGTAGGCATGTGCTTTCGTGTGTGCGTGTGCACAGTATCTGACCAGATTTGTATAACTTCATGAACACCAGGAATATATTTGGGGTGCAGTGTTAATGTTCGGAGGGTCTTGTAATCGTCAAGAATACGGTACTCAAATATGAATACGGTACTCTGTAGGGGGGGCTCACCTCTGCCATGTATGGGCAGCGTTCCTCAACGTGCGATCCTCGCAGCCGGTTTGAATCGAGGCAGGATTCGTTATCGATGATTTTCTTCACAGTCCTCGTCGAGTCGAGAACAACCTGCAGGGAACGTGATTTTGTAAAAAAAAAAATTTCACGCATTCGTCGCTCACATTTTGGATGCTGGTAGTTTACTTATCTTGGTAGTTTATGTATGTTGATCTTCTTTCGCTCCGTACGTAGCCAACCGTGCCAATCGTATTATTGTATTTGCAAGCACGTTACGACTTTGGGCATGTAATAATTTAAAATGCAACAAAAATTCGGACCAAATATTCGATAAACACTCTTTTGTCCTCATTTGCCAGGTGTTTTCGTGACGACGCTGTCAAAAGACGGGTCAACAACGGCGGAGCAGCGGTGCCTGCGTGAACGTTCGTGGTGGAGTAGGCAAACCAACGACTTGACCGCCGCGTGAGAAGATCCACGACTTGTCGCCACGAGCAGCTGGCCGCCTGAAGACGGCGACGCGACGGAATTGAGCAACGTTTGGAAAGGACCAAACATTCGATAAAGAGAGCGCGGCGGAAACCGCTTTAAAACAAACACGCGTCCTGCGTGAAGGGTCATACCGGCCGCGACAGCGGAATTTATCGGGTGATTCAAGACCGAAATCGAGCAGGTGAAGTCTACTTGCCATTCATTGCAATTTCTTTTTTTCCGTTACGAAACCCGAGTCTAGAACACTTACGGGTTGACCTTTGACAGATGCGAAGCTTTGTCCCTCCAGAGTGTACAGGCGCATTCGCATTTTTTGAATCGCAGCACAGCTGTTGAGCACGAGGCAATGCGAGAGATCGTGATTCACCGAATTCACAGGCACAAGCCAGTTTATTGTTCGTTGATGGGACCAAACGTAAAGTCAAGTGGTTATCATTCTAAATTTCTTTCATGCCATCACACCTTATCACCATCACCCGCTTCCATTTGCTAGGTCGCATATTCGCTGTAAAGTCGACACACGACCATCAAGGTCTGCTCTTGCAGGAAGTCACAATCTGGCTTTAGGACTTCAGCTGTCACACCATGGGTCAGACCCACCTTCCCTCTCCTAGGGAGGGTTGCGGCATGGATACCGTGCAGGATAAATAAAAACTAAGCTTTTTTTATTTTACCAGGTAAAGCCCACTGAGCTATATAGCTCGTTTTCAGAGGCCACATGACCAACAATTGATAGCTCAACGAAGTGCCTTATCATCAAGTGGAAAGTTATATCAATGCCATGTTGCAGCGGCAAAACACTCGAATGCACAACGTGAAATGAACGCCTTTCCAACACCGCGTGGATTGGAGTCGTGGACACGTGACCTCTCTGTACATTCGTGACCTGGCATGGGAAACGCGGGGACCGGTGGTCTCAGGCCACCAAGGTTGAGGCCTACCACCATGGGCCTCCACCTTGGTCACCAACCTCTCGGTGCGGCTCCGGTGACTGTCTTGGTGAGCTGCCCTCTCCCACCCCACCCTCGTGACACGCATCGCTGCCTCTTAGCCTGGCTACGTCTTTCGAGGTTTCCTGCCACGTTTGAGCCCGAACCTCCAAGTTGCTCCTCCGCCCCTTCCATGCAGGGTGAGAAGAGAGGGGAGAGGCAGGCGGGGGCGAGTCTAAGGGGGTAAAGACAACGCACAGCCACGAGCTGTGAAAACAACATTTTTGTCCTTGCCATGTCTCACCGGGACATTTTTTTACGTCACTTTTGGCTGGAGGGACCAGTGGCAGATCCAAGTTGTGAGGGGAGGGGGGTGATGGGGGCGATTTCCACTTGAAATCCATAAAATTGATATGTTATTGATATTCACCAGAGAAAATGTGTTGAATGTTTAAAAAAAAGATTTATATAAAATGTAGAGCCCTAATTAAATTATAATTTTGGGACCCCGTTGCCAAGTTTCTAGATCTGCCTTCGGTGGGGGCCTTACATTGAGCTGCCTAGCTCCTCAAAATTGGGAACAAATTGTTACAAACTCCGATGCCACAATTATCATCGCTAGACGGGAGGTGATGGACAGAGCTTGGCGATCTCGTCGCCATCATCATCATCATTGGGCGCGGCTAGTCGGGGAGGGGGTTTCCCACCTTCAGGATGGAAGATGTGCGGCCAGTCCGGCAATTTTAAAGGGGCCTCGAGCAATCGACCCCCCCCTAAAAAAGTAGTCGATGACAATTTATAGTCAAACAATCGACTTAATCGACGAATGATAGAAAAAAAAATTGCAAACACCCCCCCTCCCCCGGCCCCTTGTGTTCCCTCAGTATGCTCGTAAACTCTTCCCTTTCCCTCTTTCCCCCAGTAAAAATGTCGAATTTGGGCCAACGTTGGCATTGCGGTGAGAACCGTTGGACGAACGTCGGCAAAAAACCATTGGCCCAACCAACGTACCACGTTTACTGGGAGCAATCCCAGGCCATAACGCAGGGCATGTTGACCTCGAAATCAAATGACTGTTGCATTTTGCCTCTGCACGTATCTGCAAACCTAACTCTCTGCACTTGCACACATGTTGCCTCTTCGCAGTTGGGCTGTGAGAGGGAGGATATATATGTATATTTTTATGTTTTTAAGAATTCTTGAATGTGATCGCAGACAACAACAAAAACCCCGCAACAATCGTAAGCTATTTCGGGAGGGCCAGTGGACAAGGGCTCCCACCAGCAAGCTAAGTCAACAAGGGCATGGCAGCAGGAATACGGGCGATTGATTATTCCTGGTTCTTTCAGAAAAAAAGGTCGATAGCACGGGGGAGCGGAGTGTGTATGAACACCGCGATGGTCCACCCCAGTTCTGCGAGCCACGGGAAACTAAGGGACAAGCGTTGAAACGACACGTGCGCAAGAATATCAACACGTCCGTCAATAGCACAGTGACCGTAATGGAAACAATATATATATGTACACCAGGTGACATTGAAGGGCAACGACCTTTGTTCATAGCACGTAAAATCATGTATGTGCTATAATTTATGTGCTGTGGACAATTGCCAAATACATTCTCTATGGAATAACTTTCGTTGTCTATACAGTAGAGATCCTCACAAATCCGACAGCAATCATGAATTAATTATTTATCTCGCATACTGCCACACATCTCTTCCCCCCACCCATCGGCCTCAATGCTGCAACCCTCCGGGAAAACGGTCGCCTGCCCCTTCATCAGGACGCCAATAACATCCCTCATCATCGCTTGAAGTCACGGCAAGCCCCCCTTGGATCCATGCGCTTTAACCTTCAACAATGCGAGTTCAACACCCCGATGAAGCTTGGAGAGATGAATGGAGTTCAAAAGAACTCACAAATTCATTGTGAGAGACCCAGCGCAGAAGATCCTTGGGTTTGATCTCCCACGAATCTCATGGTCCACTCTAAATCGCATCCACCGCATAAACCTTGCCAGAAAATGAAACTCTCTCCAGTGTGTGACTTTGGTCATGCAGAACAGACCGTACAACGTTTCACGACGCAATGCCCCGATCCACATCTACGAAAGAGACATCACGGGCGATACACTCCACTGCTTCTGACGCGCTTATCTGGCTTGACCAGCTGAATGTGACATTGTAGTTGTTGCTTGCGTCTACATCGGCAATATGAAAGATGATCACTTGTTGTGCCTTCGCTTGTTTCCAAAGTAGAGTAAAGCATTCTCCCTTGCTTAAACAGTTTGCACTATTTTTTTAAATCATTTTGTCCAGTAAACTATTTGCGTGCGATGGTGTAAACTTACCTTCTTTAGACGTCCACACATGTAACCTTTTCATATACATTCCGCCCTGTGCATAAGTTCCCTGCGTATCGCATGAGCGACGTGCCGCGCTCATGCGTTGATGTATTTTTTTTTAAAATATCGTTCACATGCACGACGAATGCGCATGTGGCTTGATTCTGCCACATCCGGAAAGAACAAATATTTACGCATTTTGTTGTTGTCCTTTGCAGACATTCTGGGTATGCAAAGTCGTCAAAATGAAGTTCCATGAAACCGAGGTGATTTTTCCGGAAGCTGCGTTGACACCGACGCAGAGACGATGCCGAACGGTGATCGCGATCCACCGGGCGTGAGCGAGCGCGGCCCCCGATATTTCATGAGCGGAGGACGTTGAAGCACATCTGCCGGCGCCGATGGACCTCGTCACACATGGGGCTCAATATCAGCAAGATGTGGTTACTGTTGCTCGCTTCTGCCATGCCGGTGGGTCTCCAGCATATCCCACACTAGGCATGCACTGATTCACACCCACCCTGATGTCAAAATTCGACCGATTAGCATTTCAAGAGAAGAGCTGTACGAAATACCGGCTCACGGGCTGGGCCAAATCTGGCCTGCCAAATCATTTTAATCCAGCCGGCGGCATCACTAAGGCTAACTGACGACAGCCTGGATTAAATCTGAGATTAAATGAGTTCAAAGTGGTCTCAGCCCCCCGTGGACTTCACACTCTTTCCTCATTATACACAGGGGGTGAGAGCTAGACCAAAGTGCGGATCACATCGTTACTCTTTCTGTTTTGCAATTAATATTAGTTTAGCACTGTGTCGCACCCCATCCTGAAACAAAGTTACGCTCCATAGCTGCATTAGCTCCTGTAGCACTCGCAAGCCGAACTGCAGCTCCGACCCCCGCCGCACCTCATAGAATTCAATGTCAAGCAGTCGGGTTGACCGATGAGCCAGCACTCGTCAATTGACTCTGGTCACTCGCTCGCCGGCGGTCAGTCGCCTTCCTTATTGCTCTTCTATCGCCGCGGCCACGGTGACCGTCCCCATGGACTCCTCCAACCGCATTGAGGACTCGGCTCACCAGACCGGCTGCTTCCACCACCGCTCTGTTCCACCGCCGTAGTGTAGGTCACAAAGGCTCTTTGGGGACTTTAATTTTCCCCTCGCATTGCTCGGCTTTGCAATTCCCTCTCGATCGACTCTCTTTTCCCAACGTTTGCTCAAAAAAAAAAACGTATTGACTCTTCTCTTTACACATTTATAGTGCCGCTTGGTATTTTGGGCCTTTGAAACCCTTGCTCAAAAACCATGATAAAAAAAACAATCTAAATTACTGTGATACAATTTGGCAGACAAGTGTAAATCTTGATTTAAAGCTTTCGTGACTGCAGGGATTCACATTCTTGGTTCTTTCGGTAAAGTCACATAAAAGGGAAACAATAAAATAATAAAAATATGAAACAATAGAATTCTCGCGACGTTTCGATTGCAACACAAGCAATCATCATCAGGTGTGAAAACCACAGTAAGAAAATTTGAAAAAAGTGGCGTTTTTTTGCTGTAAGCGATGAACTGTTATATTCTCGTCAATTGAAGCAGCCCATGGCAGAATGTTTTATCTTGAGATTTAGTCTTGAATGTGGAGTTGCCATCTCTGGGGTACAAAAAAGTGGGGACGTATCAAGGGAAAGGACTCTGAACGACAGACGAGGTGAGTGGTATGTCTCGAGTGGTATGTATATTATTACGTATGCAACTGACAAATAAAAGGGGAATTTTTAACGTCTCTGGAAGACTTACATTACAGATGTCCTCGTGTGGCTATTTCAACAAGAGAATGATCCCGGGAAAACCAGGACAGGTGGCAACCTCATTGTCGATTGCGGAGAACATAGATGTGTGAGAAGTGACTCATCCTCTTGGCGGTTCCATGAATTGTCCCGTATAAGCACCACAATTCACCTGTAAGGGACAAAGATGGGTCATGTTAACCCATTACAGATAACATAATAACATAGGCATTGTGACGCGGTGGCATTTAGACACAATATAAATATTAATTGTAATGTATTGTACTTACGGCTGGAAATGGGAAGATATTGCTGGAGGGAACTCATAAATGATTCCCTCCACCCACACTCGATCTGAGGAGAAGGAAGAGCTTTGCTCCATGTGTGGGTCTCTGATCATGTCTGTGGGTCTCTGTGTGCATGTGGGTATCTGTGTCGATCTATCTGTGGGTCTCTGTGCGTGTCTGTGGGACTCGATGTTAGTCGAGAGGCCTATCTGTGAGTCAAATAAATAAACACATGAATCCTTGATTCCGTTCAGAACGCAGTCACTGGGTTAAAATTTTCACTCCCACCACGGTACTCTGGGGCGCACCGGCCCATTTCCACCACTGATTGTGCTGTATTGTGTTCTGCTTTGTCGTTTTGTCAGGGAACAAACAGCAAAATACTCATGGACACCTACACAAAATGGATGCTCTACAGCATGGAGTGCAAAAACAAAATGGAGGTTCAGCCGCATCCGGATGGTAAGGAGCTTTGCAATGTAATCTTGAAGTGTAAATGTATTCGGGATGATAATCCCTAATTTTGAATTCACCCAAACGAAGAAAACAATCCTAAAATATGAGTGATAACTACAAATTCAGTTGTCGGAGTTTGGAGTGCAGGATGTAGTTAAGTACAAATGTTATATAAACATTCGGTGAGCCCTGGGCCATTCTGGGTAATACATGATGTAACTAATTGAATCAAAATATGTTCTTCCTGCCAAGGGTTATTATGCTAATCCATCGGCATTGGTTCAAGCAAGAAAACCTTGGGACAGCTTCGAACTCCTGGGCCTAAATATCGACGTGGCCTAAGCGGCAGAGCATTCACCACTTTTTCACAGAGGTTCGCCGTTCGAAGCCAGAGGTCCCCCTGGTTAATGCGGCCGGTGTATTAACCAGGGCGACTGCTCGTGTATTAACCGTGAGAAAAAAGAACACGACTACGCGCCATCTGCTTCACAGTGGACGTTAAAGATCATGTGATGTCATTCACAAGAGTTCCGGCGTCACAGTCCGAAATCAATCTCCACAAATTACTCAATTGAGACTATACATAGCAATCGCTATGCCCTACTGCGAAAAAAAAAACTTGACCGGATCCTCCTGAAAAAGAGACTTGAGACTCGGTAAACACGTGTGACGACAAAAATAATGAAATAAAAATAGCAGTCAGGATTGCTGAACAAATATTGCTGGCTTACCAGATGGTATTGATAAGAGCACTCCAGATTGGGCCACTAACCCAGTAGTATTGCCATGATGTAGGCTTTCTCCCAGGGCCACAAAAAATACTTTGGAGGCCTGGGGCAAGATTCTTGTTGAGGCCTCTTTGTGGCCCTCTCAGCCCTTTCTAAAGCCCCCTTGGGCCGTTGTGAGACCCCCTCAGATTTGAGCCCTCACCCACCCCTCCCCCACCCCTCCCCCTCCCCTCCCCCACCCCTCCCCCCTCCCCCTCCCCCTCAGCCACCACCCCTCACCCCTCCTCTCTCTCTGCAGCTCTGCTTCCCATGTCTGCATGAAGTGTTGGCAAACCTGTTGTGGTTTTTCCAGGATAATCCTCTTGTTGAGGTAGCTCTTCTGGGAAATCTGTAAGTCTCCCAGAGACATTGCAAGTCCTGTTTTTTTGTCAGTTGCTTTATAATAATTATATACATCATTATAATAATAATGAATATATATATACAATTGAAGACAATGTTTTTTACATGAAGTTCTCCCTTCTTCTGATATTGTGAGATACTTCTCTTCCCAGGGTACGTCTCAGTTTGGTTTGTATTCGGTACTCCCCTACGGATTCTACAAGGCTTGACCAATCTTTTTCATCGTACGGCTGATGTTGATGTAGAGCAACAACTACAATATGTTTTTACGTTGAGGTGGTTGAGCCAAGATAACTGCAGTCAGGTGTAGCAGAGTGGGTGCATCGCTGCCGTGATGATGATGCCTCCTCCTCCATCGTGTTTGTGTTTCGAGCAGAGACTCGTTTTATGTTCTGTGGTTCCGTTCCGGGTGGTGATCACAGTCGCGCACTGGAGATTATTATTGTTATTTTATTCCATTTGTGCGTCATTAAGTACCTATGATTAGCACGGTTTAACACGATACATAATACATATCTGCTGCCATGTATTTTGCGGGGGCTGTTTATGGTTGACCAACATATCGGCGGCAGTCTTGTCTTACGCGTGCTCTTATCTCCCGTTCCTCTCTCTCCGTGCCACTGTGTGCAGCAGGCCTCTTCTGCAATCGCTCATTCGACCAGTATGCATGCTGGCCAGATGGGCAGCCCGATTCTCTGGTCAACGTGTCCTGTCCCCCATTCATGCCTTGGTTTGAAAAAGGTAAACAATATTGGGTAGGCGTTTGCATGTGCACGCGCGCATTAAGCGTAATCGTAATTACAATCGTAATTGTATTTCCGACTCGCTGGAGCCTTTTAAAGCAGCCTCCCTCAAAGTGCTTTAAAAAGCCAATGGATACGGTCAAATCAATATGCGTGTCAAACGAACATAATCAAATAATCCAGGAATATACAGTGTAAGCAAAGACAAGCGAAGGAGCGGGTATGGAAGAAGCTGGCGTGGCCTCGTTGGCATGGGCCCTCGTGCAGACAATGAGATGGGGCTCCCTGTCAAATTGTCCCCCCTTTTTCAAAGCCCAGCGCCTCTGGCCCGAGGGGCTTCGGTGCAGTTGCAGTGCCTGCACACTACTCGATAGCTACGGAGGTAGTAACTGCTGCCCTGCAGTTGTTCCATCACAGCTTGCGCCAAGCACCTGAAGCCTGTGACACGCGGTAACACGAGCCGCAACTCCAGCAAAACGGTCGGAATCTGAGACGGGGGCAGGAAGAAAAGTGAATTACGATTGATCGACATCACGTTGCAGATAGGGGACAGGTCGTCGGCAGAGGATGAGAGTAAGATCTTCAAAAGCCTGGACTTTGAATGAGGGCAGCGCAGACGGCTGGAGAGAGAACTTTGTAGACTGTGGGGGAAGCTACAGAGAAGGTAAAACTTTCCCAATTTGCCAGAAGGCCCGCACTGATTGAGCGTGAGGGAGAGCAGAGCAAGACGAGAGAACGAGAGAGATGGGGGAGGAAGGAATCAGCGAGTCCACACGGAGAATCGTTACAGCAACACCGCTCTGCGTTTCCCAGGGCTTCGTTGCAGCCGGAAGCAGCCCGGAACGCCGTTCTGGGAATCATTTCGGCACCCAGCCTCACACAATGTCACTTTATTTAGAACTTACAATATTTGTTATTATTATAATAGAAACATAGGGCAAAGTGATATTGGCGATGTGCACGTTTGGCTAGAACATACGTACATATCTTGCACTCCACTGCTAGTGCCTAACACTGATAAGCCCAAAGCCAGGTGAGCCTATGGCAGCGTTCTGGGAAGAATCAAGTGAGAAATGAAGCCCCTGGTGTTTCCCGGTGTGGCCGGCAGTGCGAGGCGGGCTGGCGTTCCGGAGGTGCGGCGCGGACGGGCAGTGGGTGGTGGACGGGGATGGCCTGCCCTGGAGGGACATCTCGCAGTGCCAGGACGAGACGCCCAAAGACGTAAGACGCTTCCCACGCTCCGCCGTGGCTGGCCTAGCTCGCTTCACGCTAGGCCTCGGCAAGGTAAGGTAACGTAGAAGGGAAGTAATAAAATAATAAAAATAAAACATAATAAAGTAATATAATAATATAATATAATAAAAAATATTTTAATTATTTTATTACTTCCCTTCTACGTGACTTTACCAAAAGAACCAAGAAGATGAATCCCTGCAGACACGAAAGCTTTAAATCGGTATGATGATTCTTCCCGCACATGATGAGGGTTGACAAAAGGTACGAAATAATTTTTTGTCTAAATGAAATAACCCTTCAAAGTCCCGAAAGCAACAGATGCCTTATGTCAAGACACAAAACGTGTCAAAGATTCTGTTGAAATGGATGGGAAAGTGTCATTCGCAAGGAGGGCTGTGTTTGGACAGGAGAGGAACATTCAGACCCTTACATGGGTGGCTTCATTAGTGTCAATCAGCACGAGCATTAACGCGCTGGCATCCTTTAAACGAGGCAACACTTGAGGTTGCCATGGGTCAATTTAGAACAATAACATCGTCGCTTCGTTTTGGGATTTAACGTCGTTATTGCTGCTGCGCTTGCCATCAATTTCTTCTCATGACCATTTGCGCTCCCTGTCTCCACTATCATCACTCTTCTTCTTCTTGACGTTTTTGCTGACATCTGGGCGGCAGTATGTATGTTAAGTTGGCCTATATGGGCATCCTGTAAACACGCGGCGGCTTCAACGCAGACTCACCTCCGATTAGCACGGTTGGCCGCGTACAGTGCAAAAGAAGTTCAACATACACACATTTCTACATGCGAAAGCCGGGTTCATAATCTTGGTTCTTTCGGTAAAGTCACGTAGAAGGGAAATAATAAAATAATAAAAATATCAAACAATCAAATGGAAGCCGGGTTGTTAAAAATGCCCGATTGCCATCTTCTTGTGAGATCCGGACATCGTCATTATCAGCCATTCTCAGCATTCTCAGTCCACCACCAGATGAAGGTCCCTCCAACCGGCTGGCGTCTCTCGTGAACCCACGATGTAACGATAACGATCATCATCTACCCCGGGCACTCGCACACGAGCTGATTCCATCGCTCCATCTCCCCGCTGTGTGTGTGTGTGTGCATGCGTGTTGAACTTCTTTCACGCCGCATGTAGCCAGCCCTGCTAATCACGGTGAGTGGGTGCAGTGAGCGCCGCTCGCAGCAAGGAGGGACCCTGGCTTCGAGTAGCGACTCGGGTGCCGTTCTGCGTGGAGTTTTGTACATTCCCCCACCCCCCCCCCCCCCCGCTGTTACGCAGGGATTTCCTCCGCGTTCTCTGGTTTCCTAGCATAGCTAAATATAATAATTATAGTAATAAACTGAAACAAAAACCCATACATTTCGATTTAAAGCTTTCGTGACGGCAGGGATTCATCTTCTTGGTTCTTTCGGTAAAGTCACGTAACTTTACCGAAAGAACCAAGAAGATAAAAACCCGTACACTGTAACCGATCTTGGGACATAAATCCCAATGCTGAAAAATGTCCCTGCAAATTTCTCAAGTGGGATTACACGAATAGCAGCACGACCGCCCCCTTTACTACCACAACTACTACAGCAACAAAAAAACAACCTGGCAGGCCCTTGAGACTCGCTGAGACTTCCCCGTGGCGAACGAGCGTACGAACGCGACGACAGCGTGGTGACTCGCGCGACGGCCACTGCGGGTTGCAGAACGGGACGCGGAGGCTGCTCGAGGGCTTCAAGAAGATGTACACGGTCGGCTACTCGCTCTCGCTCGCCGCCCTCGTGCTCGCACTCGCCACCTTCCTGATGTTCAGGTGGGTCCCTCACGCGGTGCACGGGGGGGGGGGGGGGTGGGTCTGTCTGTCTCACGGAAATCCGGTCACATCCCCATCAAACTCAATGACATGAGCGGCACAGGTTACGGAATAATCTTCGCCGGCTGGTTGGCTGTGTAAAGCGAGCAATACATTATTGTAAATAAATGCACAGTATTTGTCCCTTCTTCTTGGTTCTTTCGGTAAAGTCACGTAGAAGGGAAATAATAAAATAATAAGCAGCCGTCCTCAGGTGAAGACCAGGCCTGTCTTCCCGACAGACCTGGTCTTCACCTGAGGACGGCTGCTTGCGTTGTGGCCGAAACGTCGTGAGAATTATTGAATGTTTTATTTTTATTATTTTATTATTTCCCTTCTACGTGACTTTACCGAAAGAACCAAGAAGATGAATCCCTGCAGTCACGAAAGAAGCTTTAAATCGAAATTTAGCATTTGTCCCCTTTACAATTTCTCAATTTGAGGATTGTTTATACTGCTTTAGAGCAAAGGCGTTCCCTCTCCTCTCTTCTCTCTCTCTCTCTCTTGGGCAGGAGGCTACACTGCACCCGCAACTACATCCACATGAACCTGTTCGGGTCGTTCATCCTTCGAGCCATGTCCATCCTGGTGAAAGATGCCCTCCTGGAGACGCACTGGGAGGTGGACCCGAGCAACGCCACCGAATGGGGAGCTTTCCTGAGTGCAGAGGTGCGCGCGTGCGCGTGTGTGCGCGTGCGTGCGTGTGTGTGTGTTTCGCGTGAGTGTGTGCGTGCGTGCATGAGTGTGTGTGTGTGTGCGTGCATGAGTGTGTGAGTGTGCGCATGAGTGTGTGTGCACTGCAGGGGGAGTGGTAGTGTTGCGATTAACTGAATTGGGCGTGGGTCAACCCCTAGATCGACTTAGCCTCAAATGAGTACCTGGTGCAGTGTGTAAACTTCGCCACTGGGGAGACAAAGGAGGCCGGGTGTGGTGCTGACCACCCACCTCCTCGTGTGCCTGTGCGGGCTTTCAGACGTGCTACTCGCTAACAGCACTTGCCCCAACAGTCTGTTAAGGTTATACGGCGGATCTTTGTCTTTGTGCACTGTGTATGTTCTGGGCCTTCCCTAGGCCACCACAGGATCCTTTGTCTTTGTTGCGTGTATGTGTGAGTCACTGCCACCTCTTCAAAGGTGTCTGGACGAGCGTGGAAGAATAGTATATGCGCGGGTGGAGAGGGAGCGATGAAATCAGCTCGTGTGCGAGTGCCGGCCGGAGTACTGCTATTCCTCTTCCGTCGTGGGTTCGCGAGAGACGGCGACGGCTTGGAGGGGCCTTCATCCAGCGGTGGATTGAGCGTGGCTGATAATGACAACGATGATGATGTCCAGATCCCACGGAAGATGGCAATCGGGCGTTTTTAACAACCGCATGTGTGAACGTAATGCGTGTTTAACTTCTTTCGCATCGCACGTAACCAACCGTGCTAATCAGAGGTGCGGGCGGAGGGCAACGGTGGACGGCCTCATCCCTCTGTCCGTTCATCGTTCTCCACGGCACGTCAGAGACTGCAGAAAAAAATCCGAAGAACATGGCATTTTTTTTTTCACGAGCAGCGAGATGAATGAACAAACACGTCCCTGCGATCGGAGTGCAGCGTGCGCGTATCCTGCCACCGCGCCTGTGGCTGTTGCTTTCTTCCACGAGTCGATGCGCAACGTATCAAATCCGAGCGAAAGGTCAACTGTCTAAAGCTCTCGGAGGCGGTGCGGTGCGAGCATCTCGCTAATTAGGCACCCCCCTTTGCTGTGGCCGTCGATGTTAATGTTTTGTGGCATAGCTGCACGCGCCGTTTATTTTTTAGCCATGATCCAGTTGCGAGACCCTGAAACAATGGATATTACTAATGCAATTACTTGAGCACGTTGCTGTGGGGAAGGACAACAAACTGGACGCGAAAAGCGGCTCTAAATAGATTAGTTTTAAATCTCAATTTGAAAGTGCATAATTCCAGTGGCTTCCTAATACCAGAAGAGCGTTCCGGACGGCCGCAGAAGCGTATCTGAGAGCACGCGCTGCGGTGACCGACGTTGTTCGACCACAAGATGCTGCGAGGATGACCGACTCTTTATACCAGTGGACAAAAACATAACGACAAAAACATAACGACTAAACGTTTCATGTGTTCTGCTTTCATCACCGATTCCACGAGAATTGAGCCGGCCATTTTCGTGGGACAGATCAGAGCAGAAACGAAACTGAACTATTTTTTATTTTACCACCCAAGGCCCACTGAGCAATATAGCTTTTTTTCAGAAGTGACCTGGCCACGAATGATAGCCCAATTAAGTGGCTTATCACGTGGACATGTACAGCAGCCAAACACTCTAAACGCATGTTTCTAAATTTGGAGGAAAAAACCCGGAGGACCTGGAGAAAAATCCACACGACCACGGGGAGAGACGTGAAAACTCCAAATATGCAGGTCGAGATCGATCCCACGACCTTCCGCATACCAGGTGAGGCAATTAACATCTCGCCACCGTGGCGACAGAACAAAACCAGCACAACAATGGACAGGCACGACGCGGCCAGCACGGCCGCCGCTTGCGTTATCCCTCCTCGGCAGAGGTCGCAACCGGGTACCCGATACCCGTACCCTACCCGATACCCAGCTACCTGTACCCGGCCGGGTACGGGTACGGGTACCCGTTTGCGACCCTGGTGCGGCCGGGTACGGGTAAGGAATCAAAACCCGTTTGCGACCTCTGCTCCTCGGTGACGGACAGCCGTCGCCGTGGCCCTCGTGTCGGGACAGGTGCCACGTGAAGTCGTTGAAGGGTCACGGGCAAGAGGTCATGGGCCCCCGTGGGTGTCGTGGCTTCAAAATGTTGTCTTTCATTGCTTACTTGTTTGTTGCGGTTGCACCCGATTCAAGAGCCGAATGGCTCACAGGGCTATACCTAATAAATGAACTTGAACTTGAACGAGACCAAAAAAAAAACCTGGATGCAGCAGCAGCAGGCTTGGCGGGCGGCGGAGGGCAGCGAAGAAAAATCCATCGCTGTTCTGCACCAGCGCGGTGAAGTATGGTCAAATAACCCCCACGACCCTCGCAGCATGGGGAGCCCCTCATAAAGGGCCGTGCATGTACACGTGCAACAAAGGGGCAATTGTGGTGCGCCGCGCAATCAAGCGGCCGCGCAGTGATTGAGCGTAACAAGCGAGGCCTGGAGCTTTTTGACACGCGCGTTAAATCAATTTCCAGGTATCAGACCTTGCGTCGCCCCCGCGCTGCTTGTGGCCCCACGCGCACGTCCTCCGCAAATTAGTTGAAGCAGACACCACTTAGCGCTGCATGTCGACGATTGGAGGAGGTGTGGGTGGGGGGGGAGCCACTTGCGTTTCCCTGCGCAGATCAGAGAGACCTGACGAGGCGTGGGGTCACGTTAACCAGCTGGCCACCGAACAAGGACAGTCACCGCTTTCAGACGCGCTTCTGCGGCCTTCTTGGAACGCTCTTCCTGCCAATATTAGGAAGCCACCGGAGGTTATCCACTTTTAAATCGCCTAGATTGACAAGCTCATTTCTTTGGAACTGCTTTTTGCGTTTCGTTTGTTGGCCTTGCCCCGCACCGCCAGTTCGCACCGTTGGCTACGTACGGTGAAGATGAAGTTCATTATACATGGATACTTGGGAAGTTGAACATGCATACGTACAGCGGCGAACAGAACAGATGCCTCTATGATCGCCATCCGTCAGAGCCATGTTCAAGTTTATTTTGTCTCACCAGTTTGGGAGCTCAAGGCCCAGGATATTGTCTCCTGTGCAACAGTCGCCTGGCCTACCAAGGTGACAAAGGCAAAAGGAAATTTTTGAACAAAAACAACCGTAATCAATGTTTGTTTTGGGTTACATCGTGTAAATATAAATGCGTCGTTTATATTTTACGCGATCTAACCCAAAAAAACCCCTCTATTATGAATAATACTGGTCGCGAAAGCCTGCGATAAAAAAACAACAACTGTATCACGCCAGGAATCGCAAATTGTGCAAACGTAATTCGCTGTTGCGCCACAGAAAATGAATCGGGAATTACATTGCGGGTACGTCCACTGCGGAGATGGAGCGATAAAATCAGCTCGTGCGCAGTTGCTTGGTGGATCGTTGCATCGCAGGATCACAAGAGGTGGCAGCGGCTTGGGGAGGCCCTCATCCAGCAGTGGATTGGCCGTGGCTGATGATCGATCATTCCGTGCGACACTCCTTTCCGAGCGGTTTTCTTTTTTCACCGGTAACATTTCATCGTTACGGCAGGGAACCCGGAGGAAACCCATTCAGAGCAGGGGAAGGGGGAGAACTAAACACAAACAAACTCAACGCACCATTGGAACCTCATTTGCCAGTAAAAAATATGATAATTGTTTTTTTACCCTTCTATCTGGCAACAAAACTGACACCTTATTATTTTTTTATTTTTTTATTTTTTTATATTTTAAAAATATTTTTTACAAGGAGTCATGTTTGCATAGATCACAATACCTGCAGTCATAATGCCAACAAAAAACATAACTCTGATAATGTATGCACTGTCCTTGAAGTTGTGGTCTATGCAAACATGACTCCTCGTAAAAAAGGTGTCAGTTTTGTTGCCAGATAAAAGGGTAAAAAAACAATTAGCTTATTTTTTACTGGCAAATGAGGTACCAATGGTGTAAATGCTTACCCCGAGCTCTCATACTCTGATGGTGCACTGTCTTTGAGTTGTGCGCCTTTTGGCGTCATCTGGTCCAACCCATGTGAGACTAGGCTCTAAGGAAAGCTGTCTCGGGTGTGGAGCAATACAATTCAAGGACAGTGCATATCATTATCATAGTTATGTTTTTTGTTTGCATTATGACTGCAGGTATTGTGTTCTATGCAAACATGACTCCTTGTAAAAAAAAAAGTGTCAGTTTTGTAGCCAGATAGAAGGGTAAAAAACCAATTATCAAACTCAACGCAGACAAGGCCCCAAGTTAAGGGAGTCGAGCCCCAGGGCCTTGTCACTGCACCAGGTACTCACTGTGCTGCCCTACCGCCCCATGTAACCGATAGTCGATGTCGCAGGGCTGTGATGTATGCATACTCTTAGTTGTTTAGGTAAAGTCACGTAGGTAAAAAATAAAATAAAAATTAATAAAAATAAAATAATATTTTTGTATTATAAATTTGTATTCATTTTAATTTCATTTTTTACCTACGTGACTTTACCGAAAAAACTAAGAGTATGAATCCTTGCAGTCACGAAAGCTTCAAATCTAGAAATATGGTGTACGCGTTTGAACCATTATAAAGCATTCGGTATATTTTTCCAAGACACAGCCACCAAGAGCCCCCTGGGTTAATCTCACAGCCGTGGCTGTGAACGCGACGGCCCACGCCCTGACCAGCCGTTATCAGTGCGACCAGCAGTCACCGAGCCCTGCTGACCCCGAGCGGAGGATTCGAGTAGGCAGGGATTGGTTGCGTAAAGCAACCACGACGGTTTGGTGCAGATAAAAAACAACAACAACACAAATTGCCTTTTGCAGAGAGCCCGCCGTTCAATCATGAGAATTGACTCCAAAAAAACCACGCTTGAAATGAGAGCAGCAAACCCGCACGTGCCCGTGTGCGTGTGCATCGATCATCGCTGCACCTGCGCTATGATTGCGGTGACACGAGCTCGTTTTCTAGGCCGTGACGTGTTGTTTCAGTGGCAATTGGAAGTCCTGACCCTCCAGCTTGGCAGGCTGTGGCTCGCGTCACCATTTGCACCGGGGGAGACAAAGGCGGACAGGGAACGCCGTGCTGGCCACCCCACCCTCTCGCGCCGCGTGCCAGCATTCATGGGCCCTTGCCCCAGCGGTGTGTAAAGGTTAAACGGTGACCCTGTGATGTTTTTTACATCGATACTTCAATACGTCATTCATCATCGACAACAAACTATCGGTTTGTCTTACATTCCCACCCCAATTAAAAACTCTAAACGTCTGGCATCGGGAGTTTTATTCTGGGAAGTTGATAAGGGAATTTGTAACATCGATACGTTAAAATGTACAGGCTTTTATCATCGTGGGAATTGTTCGACCATTCTTCACCACATTGGTCAATGCGGTTTGGTGACGGTGGGGGGGGGGGGCCCAGGGCCGGCTCACACAGCACTCCGCATGCCGATGTTAGCCGTGGCCGGGGATCGAACTCAGGCCACCACCGCGCTCGAAAAGCAGCGCGACAGCTCTCGCACGCTGACAACTCCGCACTCCAGCGCCAACACCATTTCGCGTAACGTATTGACGCATCCGCAGTGTACTCTCTCGCACCGCTGTATTATGCTGTATTCGAGCTGTCGGGTAGGCAACCTGCGACAGAGAGGGCACACGTCAATTTACTCTAGAAAGTGAATTGTCACGGCCTCTGGTGTCCCCATTGTAAGCGAGCGCATGCTCTGGTTTCGCTCCTCGGTATCGCTGGGCGGAGGTGGGATTTGACCCGCTGAAACCCTGGCCCTAATCACTATTGACTTTTCATCTGTCCCACACACTGCACAGTGTGTGTGTGTATATATCTGGAGTTTACAAGGGCAGCCTTTGCTCAAAAGCAGTATAAACAATCCTCGAATTGAGAAATTGTAAAGGGTACAAATGCTGCTGCATTTATTTTATAACAATGTATCGCTCGCTTTACACAGCCAGCCAGCCGGCCGGCGAAGACTATTCCGCTGAGAAAATAATATCTCGCGTAACCTCTGCCGCCCATCTCATCGAGTTTGGTGGGGATGCGACCGGATTTCCGTGAGACAGACAGAGCAAACGCGTGGATTTGGGAAGAGACGCGCGTGAATGACCCGACAAGAAGCTGTGATGGAGAAGTAGGTTGTCGGCTTCGGGCAGCAGCTTCGTCGCTCGAAGGGAACGATGGACGAAGGTCAAAGAACTACGATGGAGCCGCAGTCGAGGCAGCGGGACGCGTTGAGCCACGGCGACGCGAGTTCAACTCCCACTCAACGACCCAACACCGGGGACGATGATCTGAGCCGGTGGTGGGTCGACCCCAGATCGACTCAAATGAGTTCCTGTTATAGGGCAATTATACTGGTAAGGAACCCACCGGTTCCACCAGCCCACAGGGGATTATTGTGTCCGTCCGTCTGTCGTGCAGGGAGGGGCTGGGTGGGGAGTGTGGGGCTGGGTGGGGGGTGGGAGGGGTGGGGCTGCGTGGGGAGGGGCCGGTCACCCCCCGTGGTGCCCTTATAAAACTCAACGTTTAACCTACTCACGCCGGCTTGTGCCCGCCCTCACAGTCGGGCATATTTGCGGAATACACCACGCCGCCGTTGACCCTGGCCATTTGACCGAGCAACCCAACGTTCCTACCAGCTCCCTCCGCAGGAGGACAATGTGTTAAGAAGCCCAAGGCGGCTGGGCGTGGTGCTGCCCTCCCACGCAAACCCCCCCCCACGCTTACCCCACCACGTCTCTTACCCGCACTTGCCCCAAACAATGTGTTAAGGCTATCCTGGGGTGGGGTGGTGGGAATCTTTACCTTATTCTTAGGTTTTTTTTCGGTGAAGTCATGTAGGTAAAAAATTAAATTGATAAAAGTTAAACAAAAGTAAAATAAAAATAAAAATCACGGCGTTTCGGAGGCAACACAAGCTATCGTGCTGTGACTGTTACACCCGAAGACGGAAGCTTGTGTTGCCTCCGAAACGTCGTGATTTTTTATTTATAATTTAACTTTTATGAATTTAATTTTTTACCTACATGGTGACTTTACCGAAAAAAACCTAAGAATATGAATCCTTACAGTCACGAAAGCTTCAAATCTAGAATTTTTACCTTCTGTGCGTGCCCTTGCCCCCCCCCCCGCGCACGCTCCTTCTCGCCAGGCAGCCGTGAGTTGCCGCACCGCCCAGGTGCTCATGCAGTACTGCATCGTGGCCAACTACTGCTGGCTGCTCGTCGAGGGTCTCTACCTGCACACGCTGCTCTCGGTCACCGTCTTCTCCGAGGAGGCCCACTTCCGCCTCTACCTGCTCATCGGCTGGGGTGAGCATCGTGCGTCTTCTTCGTCATCCTCCTCCTCCTCTTCTTGTATAATGTACTATATGTATAATGTTCAATAATCAAATCAAGCATAGCTACTCTTTTTTTGGCATGCTAATCGGTTGCGTCGATCGCCCGACCGGGTTGCAACTTTTGGAGCAGGTTTTTGACGAATCGAACCCGGGACCGCCGGACAATATCGGAAGCCGGATAATAGATGATCAACTTTATTTGTTGTTTTGGGCAGTAGAGGGCAGTGCAGAAAGCACGTGGCGGGATGTGTACCGCAGGGATCTAGGCGTGGGTACTGTTTCGTGGTCACTGTTAGACACCTTTGCCGCAGACCAAACCTTGGGCATATTTCTCGTGCCAGCGTTGGTCTGTAATGAATCACTGCGCAGTATTATGTCATGAAGTTTTAAGTGTTCAAGCTGCAATAAAGTTTCAACGCGGCAACGCCGGTACCAGATGTCGGCTCAAATTAATTCCTGCCACCTGAACACAAATGCCAATTCCCAGTCTGTCTGGGTCAGGGTATATATATATTTACAAAGACAAAGATCCCCCGTGTAGCCTTAACAGACTGTAGGGGCAAGTGCTGTTAGCGAGCACCTATGAAGGCCCGAACGGTACACGAGGGGGTGGGTGGCCAGCACCACGCCCGACCGCCTTTGTCTCTCTAGTGGTGATGTTTACACACCGCACCAGGTACTCATTTGAGGCTGAGGCCCAGGACCGGTTCAGATAATCGTCACTGGTGTTGGCCGTGAGCGGGAATCGAACCCGGGTCGCCAGGTTCATAGCGCAGCGCGCTAACCGCTACACCACCGCTCCCCACACACGCCCACACACGCGTCAAAACCGCTTGTGAGGAACCACGGGTGTTTTGGCTTTATTCTGTGAGTTTCAAAAATCGCCCTTGTATTCTGTACACCGGTGATGTTCATTGCATGGCCCGCGGGCCACTGGCGGCCTCTGGTAGCCTTTAGTACAACCCTTGACGTGCGGCCCCCGACAATACACAAATCCAAACACACCCCCCACCCCCACCCCCCCATCATTATCGTGCTGTCAAACCCCCAAATGGTTTCAAATGGTGTGGCGGCCCTAACGCTGATGTCTTATCGGCGAAAGTGCCCCCCCCCCCCTCTGAAAATTATGTATGTTGAACTTCTTTTGCACCGTACGTAGCCAACCGTGCGAACCGAAGGTGCCGAACACAACACTGATGTACACCAAAGGAGGGTTGTAGCAGTGTGCTCGCCGAATGTATAATGCATCGCCTATTGAGGTTAGAGATGGACGCGAGTTGTTTACTCGAGCAGCAGATAGAGGTCACCTGTCGGAAAGAGGTGGAGTCACAAGGGCCCGCTGAGAAGTAACAGATGATTTTGAGAATCTAACTCCCGTGTCTGCTTAAGATACCTTTGCTGTTCATGAGGTGGGCTAAGAGGGGATAAGCGAGGAACCGGTGTTTTAAAAAAAAAGCGCAATTGAGGACACTCTACCAAATCACTATTAAATAATCGCCTTGCTTTACAACGAAAACAAGTCATCGCTCGCCGACCTTAACACTATACAGCGACGCACGGCTCACCGCGGGCCGTAGAACAAAACCTAAAAAGGAGGGGAATTCTCGACCGTGGTCGCGGCCTTTCCAGAACGGACGGCCGAGGGACGACGGGAAATCGTTCCCTTCTAAACGTGTGCATGCCCGCCGCCGCCGCCGCTGCACGTGTCCCTTGGCACGCCGGGAGCGATGGCACGGGGGGACCGAACTTGCTGGTTTTTGTGACCTGCCTGTGAGCGCCACCCGCGGCTGTTTAATCCTCCGGCCACGGGCCCAAGTTTTTACAGCAGACCGACGGGGCCAGTTGTCAAACGCACGTGACGGATTGTACACAGCGCAGCGCGCAAAGGGAAACTAATTGTGTGCTCCTCAGAAGCGTGCGCGCGCGCGCGTCCGAGTGTGTGTCATTCGTCACCTGTAATTGCTTACGCTTTCTGCACGCGCGCAGTTGTGCGTGTTGATGTACGCTCAACGGTGTTTATGACTGTGATGCGGGGGCATATTCATAATGTGGCAGACTTTACAGCCCCCTCTGTCTGTGCTCTGTTTGGTTGAGGTACATCCACGCGCCATGTCGGGTATGGCGGTTATTTGACCGTACTTCACCGCACTGGTCAAGCGCAGGTCGGCGAAGGAGGGGAGGGGAGGCCCAGGACCCGTTGAGATAGCACTCGCCACTGATGTTAGCCGTGGCCGGAGATCGAACTCGAGTTGGAGTGCTGTCCAGTAAGCCAACCACTGCACGTACCGCTGCTCTTTCTGCATGGGTAGCAAAAACGACAAAAGGTAAAGGAGCAGCCCTGCAATGCCTTGCTGGCTCCACTGCTGGCTGAATGGCCTCCACTCGAGGGAGCTCGAAAGTGCTCCCTCTCCAACGCATGTCCGCCTCCTCTTTCAAACTGAGCAGACTTGTTGGCAGAGGTCAGAGTACCCACACTGCGCCACACCGCGTCGAATGTGGTGCGGTGTACCGGTTCATACTGCTGCTTGGGTGGCAGAGGCGGGGCAGGGTCGGGTGAGTGTGTCCGGGTGCGCTTTAAGCAACATTACCATTGTTTAAACTGACACAGCTGGAGATTCGAACCGGCAGCCACCACCTGGACTGCAAGTCCCATCCGATGTGCTAACCGTTACGCCACGGCAGCGTATGCGTGTTGCGGTGTCGCCGCGCTTATTATACGCTTGCGATGCGTTCAGATTAATGTTGGTTTTCCCACTGCGTTGAGCATCAGACGGCACTCCGTCTCCTGTGTGCAGCGGTTAGAAATGCCACGTGCCTGTGCGGCACCTCCACTGTGGTATCCTCGTTGTGTCGACACCGGAGAGGCGACGGGTCAAGTCGACCCACCAACTACGAGCCACGCAACGCTCACTTCAGTACTAATCTTATAAATCGTTCTTGTACTTGGCCTTAAATTAGTTCCTAGTGTGAAGTGTATACATCAGCACTGGGGGGTGCAAAGGTGGTCAGGCATGGCGCCGACCACACTACCCCCCCACGTGCCATTCCGGACTTAATAGGTGCTCGCTGACTGCACTTGCCCCAAAAGTATGTTGAGGCTATACGGGAGATCTGTGTCTTTGTACCTGTATGTATGTACCGTGCTTGTACAAGTATGTGTGATGACTCTCGAACAACTTCTGTCTTTCTGCTTGATTTTTTAGGGCATGTCGCGCAGATGACGTCCACTCATATCCCACAGTGCTCAGCTAAGACGAGCAGACAGCACTTGGGCTAGAATCACAACAGATACTTGAGCTAGGACAGCACCCAAGGGGCCGTCCATAAATGACGTCACGCACCTGATGGGGGTGGGTGTCAGACATTTGTGACAATGTGTGACGAGAGGCGGGGGGGGTGGGGTGAGAAATGTGACGTCACATCAAAATGCGCAACTTTAAATAAACATAGACAACGCGTTCTACTTAATGGAATAGACTTTTTAATAAAAAAAATTCTCCTACAACATCAGAGTGCAGCGCCACATTAAATACGCACTACAATGACAATAGTTGAAAGCGATTTGAAGCATGTTTTATTTTCAAAATGGAAATGTGGTTTTTGGGGGGGGGGGGGGGTTGAGCTTTGTGACGTCATATTTGAGGGGGGGGGGGTCTGACTTTTTGTGACGCCGTGTGATATTCTCCCCGGCGTGGCCCCGCCCCCCCCAGGGCCACGCCCTCTTTCCCCGAACTGTCTCAGCCAATCACGAACATCCCCCCGTAGTCCCCTGCTGCAATTACCCCTGGTGACCACCTGGCCACGCACTGTCCCTACATTATGTGTGTATATGTGTGTGTGGGGAGCGGTACTGTAGCGGTGAGTGTGTTGCGCTAAGAAACTCGGGAAGCCGAGTTCGATTGCCACTCGCAGCCAACACCGGTGACGAGTATCCGAACAGGTCCTGGGCCTCCCCTAGGTCGACTCAGCCTCAAACGAGTACCTGGTGTGGTGTGTAAACATCGCCACTGGGGAGACAAAGGCGGCCAGGCGTGGTGCTGGTCACCCAGCCAGCCCCTTGCGTGCTGTTCCGATCTTATATAGGTGGTCACTGACAGCACTTGCCTCAACCGACTGTTAAGGCTGTACGGGGTATCTTTGTCTTTTGCGTGTGTGCAAATATTAATGAATGTTTGGTATATGTGCATTCATCACTTTAGCTTTACTAAATCAGTGGGGTAGGAGAGTTAATTGTTTTTATACGTGAATATTTATTGGAACCGTTGTTGTTATTTCGGTGAAATAAAAAAACAACACCTCAGAATTATTATCTCGCGGATGCACACACAGCCCAAAATAGGAGGCAGTTCAACAGCCGCCCTCCTCGTCGAGGCAGAATATGGCACGGAGCATTTGTCCGAGTTTGCCCAGAAAGTGGCAAAGCTACACACACACACACAGGAGTTATTTGGCCGCAGGTCTTGCGACTCAATCACAGACTCCCGAACTCAGAATAAACAAACTAGCCACCGCCCCAAAATAGAATAAAGAATTGTTTTTGGAAACGTTTTTAAATATTTTTTTTTAAATAATCGGTGTTAATGGCTTTATATGGCAGTTTCATTAGGCCGTGTGACTCACGGTGTTATAATGAAAAGCCAGCTGTTCACTCTTGGATGCGGATGGTATTTTCCGTCTTCTCTGGATTACGAAACACACTTTTTCTCACCCTGTGTATTAAAGCAAAATAAAATCAATTGGGGCTGCGGTCTTATAATCCAGTAGTTTTATGTGTGTGTGTGTCTGTCCACATTTATATAACTTTATCGACGCTTGACACAAGTTTGATGTGCGTCATACTTTGCGGAGCGTCTTATAATCTGGAGAATACGATAGTAGTGGTCTAACGAGTCATAGATTCATTGATATCTGTTATCCCCCCCCCCCTTGCTTCAACAACTCACACTGACCAGCCGGGTATGTACGTGTGTTGAACTTCTTTTGCACCGTACGTAGCCGACCGTGCTAATCGGAGGTGCGGGGGAAGGACAACTAAACACGAAAAGCAGTCCTGAAGAAATTAGTTTTAAATCTAGATTTTACAAGTGCTTAGCTCTTCAGTGGCTTCTAAATATCGGAAGGAAGAGCGTTCCGGATGTGCTGCGGAAGCGCATCTGAAAGGGCGCGATGCGTTGACTGCCTTGGTTCGATGGCGAGCGGAAAGCCACCGCTGCTGCGAGGGTGACCGAAATTCGCCTGATGATGGTTTATGCTACTTGGTGACGAGATCGGAGAGAGGTGTTTTTCGTGGTTCATTTGTGGCAAGCACTTTGCGTGTAATGAGCGCGACCTCGTATAACGCATTCGTTACGAGGTCAGCCGGAAGCCAATGGCTGTCTCGCCCACACGGCACACGGCGGTTTGTGGCGAGGACGTGCGGATGGGACGCGACGCGTGGCAGCGAGTTTGCCAGGCCCGTCGTTGCTCCGCCGATTAATTATTGGCAAACGCAGCTGCGAAAGCGTTCACCGAGGTGGCGGCGTGTGGAAAGTGCTGTGATTTTTGCCAAAAATTGTTCCGTGTCATGGGAAGCCTGCTTTTTTCAAGATACATTTTACACGTGGCCTCACCGGTTTGGGAATGTATTCTCACCAGAGCCTACAGTTTGTTAAATGTCTCCCACTATTCAATCTTGGTACGGATTATTTTTCCTTACAATTTGAAATGAATGCTTTATCACTGTTTTGAGACACTTCATATATATTACAAATTGGGTGTGCTCTGTTTCAATTGTCACCAACAACATCCCGCATATGTATGACAATCATGATTACAGTGGCATTGGGTGATCATAGTCGAGGTGAATGATGATGATGATGACGATGATCAGAATTTTTATTAATTTGTCCCCATCACCATTTTCCACCTCCCTCTGCCAAAAATCACGACACTGCAAAATGCGCGTCTATATACAGGGCGGTGCTTTTCATAGATATCCCAAGCTGCTGAAATAGCACGTGTGTGTGCGTCGGCGGCTTCGTCGAAATGTGAAGAAAAAAGGACTGTAACCGTGCAAAATAACTTCATTTTGGATAACCTTCGGCAACATCGCCACCTACTGACAGACGAACATCCACTTTCAGGCCAGCGCCGCATTCACCGTGTGCCACACAGGGGACAGCAGCCATCAGGATGACAAAAGCTGCGCTCGCATCAGTACCGGATTATCCTCGTAGCAAAAGTAGCTACACGTGTAGTAGCTACGGGCCCCACACTTTCAAGGGCCCCGCGCTAAATGCTTTCAAGCTATCAATTTCGGCTCAGTGATTCCGCACTTGCTCTATTACTATAGTACTATACCGCCTTCAACTTTTATTATCTGGCTGTATAGCAAATACTAAAACACAATTACTTTACTGTGCAAGCAAAAGATGTGTGTTTTAATATTTACGTGTTTTTAGGGCCCCTTTATAACATATGCTACAGGACCCGCACTCGCTTAATCCGTTACGCTTCTGGGCGGAATAGAAATGCGAGGTGCTGTTCCGGTCCAAACCAGAGTCTGACTTCGAGAGGTTTACTGCTCGACTGGTGATTTAGGAGGCACTGGCGAATGCTGATCGCAGATGCATTGGGGAATTCACATGAACTCATTACAAACAACGTAAAAAATCTATGAATTACAAAAAGGAGTCTATAATGCTTAAGACTCGATATTAATCAATGAATATGTGCATTATTAGACCCCTCGTAAGAATGTACGCGTGTGCACGAAGAGAAAGATTCCCCTATAGCCTGAACAGACTGTTGGGGCAAGCGTTGTTAGCAAGCGCCTATGAAAGCCGGCACGGCACACGAGATGGTGAGCAGCCAGCACTATGCGCGGCCGCCTTTGTATCCCTCGTGGCGATGTTTACACACCGCACCAGGTACTCGTTTGAGGCTGAGTCGACCTCGGGGAGGCCCAGTATCAATTTAGATAGTCGTCACCGATGTTGGGAATTGAACGCGGGTCACCGGGTTCGTAGCGCATTGTGCTCACGACTACATGACAACTGCACACATGGCGCGCGCACACACTCAGCTGACTAATCTTAACATATCAACTTTGTATATATAGTGTAAGATTATACTTAGCGTTTATAAGAGGTGGCGGTGGGCGTGATTTGCACTTACGATACTAACAGGGGGGGGGGAGATGGGAGGCGATGACATCAGTATGAAGGGTTCAGTGAGTACACCCTGAGTAGTTGTATAGAAGCACATTGTGGTATAATAAGATATACTTGTTCCTTGGCAAACGAGGCCACTTACTATTCATTCACCAGTCGAGGGTGTACTTGAGTAAAGGTAAAGGTGCAGCCCTACATTGCTTGCTTGCTCACGTAACAAAAAACACACATTTTACCAGGTAAGGCACACTAAACTATATGACTCTTCTTCTGGTTCTTTCGGTAAAGTCACGTAGAATTGAAATAATAAAATAATAAAAATAAAACATAATAAAATAATTCTCAATAATTCTCACGACGTTTCGTTCAGGTCTGTCGTGGAGACAGAGACAGAGACTCTGTCTCCTCGACAGACCTGTTCTCCACCTGAGGACGGCTACTTGCGTTGTGGCCGAAACGTCGTGAGAATTATTTTATTATGTTTTATTTTTATTATTTTATTATTTCAATTCTACGTGACTTTACCGAAAGAACCAAGAAGATGAATCCCTGCAGTCACGAAAGCTTTAACTCGAAATATATGACTCTTCTTTTCAGAAGCGACCTGGCCACATATGATAGCTCAACGAAATGGTTTATTAGGTGGATACGTATAGCAGCCAAATTCTCTATTCTTAATGTGGAGGGGAACAAATAGAGGATCCGAAGACAAATCTACGAGACCACGGGGATAGAGACATGCAAACTCTGGGATCGAACCCACGACCTCCTGGAAACCAGGCGAGGTAGTTAACATCTCGCCACCATACATAGTTAACCATTATACTGGTAGGAACCACCTGGTTCCACCAGCCCACAGGGGATTATTGTGTCCGTCCATCCATCGTGCATCCAAAATATGGGAGGGGTGGGGCTGGGTGGAGAGGGGAAGGTGGGGAAGGGCTGGGTGGGGAGGGTGGGGAGGGGCTGGGTGGGGAGGGGCTGGGTGTGGAGGGTGGGGCTGGGTGGGGGGTGGGAGGGGTGGGGCTGGGTAGGAGGGGCTGGTCACCCCGTGGTGCCCTTATAAAACTCAACGTTTAACCTACTCACGCCGGCTTGTGCCCGCCCTCACAGTCGGGCATATTTGCGGAATACACCACGCCGCCGTTGACCCTGGCCATTGACCGAGCAACCCAACGTTCCTACCAGCTCCCTCCGCAGGAATGTATTAATTGTAGGTACAGGGGAAAGGACAAAAAACTGAACACAAAAAGCAGTTCTACAAGAAATTCGTTTTCAATCTAGATTTAAAAGTGCATAGCCTCCAGTGGCTTCCTGCCAAGGGAAGGGCCTTCCACTACAAGGTATCTATAGAAGGTAATTTTGGCCTACTCCTCCACACAGGTTGAAGTACGCACACTACTCCACCACACACGATGTACTTACAAAAACATCAGCAGACTACCTGCTGGATCTCGTCACTGTTTCGAAGAACAAATATGACCTAAGGTCTTCGCTCATTTACCAGCTTCACATTCCATATTGCCGTACAAATACTGGAGGAAGGGCCTTTGCTGTTGATGCCCCCAGGGTCTGGAATGCTATCGCCAATAAACTGCAACTTGGATCGCTACCTGTGAGATCTTCACTCAAAACTGCTCTAGAGGAGTTGTACACCCCTAGCTGCCACTGCTATACAGAATGGTCTGAAATCAAATGTATCGTTTTGGATGACCGCTGCAAAGTATGATCTTTAGTTTTGATTATAGTGTGTTGATTTTTAAAGATGTATTGAAAAATGTTGATCCTGCTACTGATGCTCCTGCTGTTGTGGAGTGACTCATGCTGCCAGCTATGGCTGCAAAGTTTGGTCGTACATGTTATGTATATCGTTTATTGTTAAATTTGAATCACAGTTCCTATGATCACTGTTACATTGTTTTTATAGCTTTATTTTGTTGATTTTGAAAACGTTTTGGTTTAGCCATGTGTTTGTTTGTTTGTTGTAGTACAGAGTTAGCCAGTAACTTTAATCTAATTTGTCTTATTGTTTGACTTGCATCCCACTCGGATTTTTGCACACAGCGCTGAAATAGGGTGTTTTTTCTGGAAGACTTTGCTGTTTTTTACTGGATTTTTATGTTGCGTGTAGTCACTTTAAGATGTTTCTTGTTTGTTGCGGTTGCATGGCTCACAGGGCTTAACCTAATAAATGAAACTGAAAAACTTAAACTGAAAAACATGGCCTGCCGATCGACTTAACTGTTGCGCTCCCAATTATACTGCTGGGTGGACAGAGGTGGGGCCAATTTAAGAAACTCGGCCCGTTGTTTCAGTCTGCTAACCATTACGCTATGGCAGAATCCCGAATGTACGTACGTACATAACGTCAGTGGCAAGCTGCCTCTCATTTATTTACTGTCGAACTGACCTAGCAGGCGGACAGTCCTGCGGAGTCTTGCTTTTCCGAGCAGTTCAACTGAACTCTGTGTTTGGTTAGGAGATCGGGATAAGGAAAAGGAGACCTTGCTTCATCAAACAATGGCAATACATCTGTGCGTTCGTGTGTGGAGTTTAATTTCCCTACATTGCCAACAAAAATATGGCTCTTCTTTTCTGCAGGCACGCCAGTGATCTTCGTAACGCCTTGGGTCGCCATGAAATTCCTGAGAGAAAACAGCGAGTGAGTATGACATAAAATGCTTCGTGTGTAAAAAAAAAAGAAATCCCCCCGTAGTACTTAAAATCTATTGGCAGTAACTTCTGTTTAATATTAGAGAGCTTGCGGCGTGAGTAATGGTTCATCTCGAAGACGGCAGTAAATTATATTGACTTATTATTTTATTTTATTGTTCATGGAAATCCTTTTCTATTTAAGGCAAGTTAACTTTTGCAGTGCAAGATTGCGTAGTTTATTCTCTCGTGGCTCATTTTATTTGCCGGTTAGATGTCGGGACACATTTTTTAAACGGTTATGTTTATAGACTAAGTTCATGAAGCCTGTCTTCGCCGGGAAAAAGTTTTCAATAGATATAATAAGTAATCTGATATGATTTTATTTTTTAACAATTTTTATCTACGATCCCACACTAACTCGTCCCAAAATTTGTATTTTTCCGCCAAAAAAATAAAATTGTTGACGACGTGAATCAACTTCTTAGATTTAAAGACGTACCCATCGGAAAACCACTCACTTTAAAGATTCCATTTTTTTTCTAATTATTCAGATTTGAACATCGTTCAAACTCGCTTGAATCCGAAATATCTAAAAAATAATTGAAGAATGAACAATGGTTCTCGCTTTAATTTTAATTTCAATGTATTGCTTCTATCAAAGGAAAACACTGCAATGTTACATTTTGAATGGTTTCTGAATGACACTCACAAACATTCTAGATTTGAAGCTTTCGTGACTGCAAGGATTCGTACTCTTAGTTCTTTCGGTAAAGGCACGTAGGTAAAAAATGAAATTAAAATTAATAAAATAAAACAATAAAATCACGACGTTTCGGAGGCAACACAAGTCTCCGTCATCACATGTTAATGGGCCACTTAAAATCGAGATTTGGGGGCCTTAACATGAAAAGTCTCGGATTTTCGAATTGTTCCTGATATTTGTGTTCTAAAAGCTACCTATGTACCAACATTCAGCTTTCTACCTTGTCGGGAAGTACCCTAGAGGTTTTTGAGACATATAGATTAAGGTCCATAACACAGTTGTTTTTAAATTAGATCGCGTAAATATAAATGCGCCGTTAAACCCGCCACCACCCGACACAGCCAATTCGTAAGGTTTGTAATGTAGACAGAACATGCCAATTCGTTACTAGTGCAGTGGCATAAAAATGAGTCTCTGGAGCGCGTAGCGCTGGGGATTGGTAGAACGGGGTTATGTTATTAACCATGTAAAAAAGATTTAACTACGCATATTTGTACCATCTTATTTGACAGGTACTGGTCTATTTTACCGAGTTGCTGACATCCCCAGCGTTTAACAGCGCTGCTGTTTTGGTTTTGGCAGCCAACATCGGCTGTACCCCCTGTGAGGTTCCTCATTTGTACCTTCCCTTCTAGCCCCGCCCACCTTCCCAGTCCCTGACTGCCACATTTAGATAAGCCCCTCCCCACTCCCCTTAACCAGTATATAAGATCTTGTCTTTTGGATTTCTCTTCACTTGATACAGTACATTTAGCTGTGACGGTCCCACCTGAAGACGGAGACTTGTGTTGCCTCCGAAACGTCGTGATTTATTATTATTTTATTATTATTTTTTACCTACGTGACTTTACCGGAAAAAAAACCCAAGAGTATGAATCCTTGCAGTCACGAAAGTTTCAAATCTAGAATGGAGTGGAACTCGTCGTGCTGCCGGCGTCATGGTCTTGGCCTCTTCGAAGCTGTCCTGACCCGGTGTGTAGTGATCCCCTATGGATGTGAAGGTCGCAATAAACAAGAGAGAGAGAGAGTGCCTCCTACAAGTGTCTCTTAGTTAGTACACTACACTAGTACAGCGCACCGGTGTGTTAGAGAGCAAATCCACAACATTTACAATCTGAGTACGACGTTTAAACTGACAGATTAAGGTATAAATTTTGATTTAAAGCTTTCGTGACTGCAGGGATTCATCTTCTTGGTTCTTTCGGTAAAGTCACGTAGAAGGGAACCAAGAAGATTAAGGTATCTTATTATATCGATAATACACGTGCAGTATATATCTTGTGGAACAAATACGCTGATGCAATTCACCAGATGCATTTTTTTTGGGGCTCACAAAGTGTCCCATCGCGTCAAACGAGCGCGGTGAAATTGGAGACGGATCGCCGCTGCGTGAAGTTATTACGCCCTGACGGTGATAGCGAAATAAATCTCTAAATGGTCACGATTGTGACACTGTTAAGTGCCGGCGCCCAACGAATACGTCCCAGCAAATAAAATCACGACAATTACATTCGTAGCAAAAGATGATCTATATATAAATATAAAAATGGACAAATTTGTGTCAACGAAGAATGATGGATTTTTGTTTTTACCAAATATAAATAATACTGCAACTCAAGTTTCTTTTCCCAAGCTGTTTCAATGCCAATAGTTTGTGAAATGTGTGAGAGAGCCGTGTGCGCTCGTTGCGTTGTTTCAGCGCATTTGTGAAGAAGGGCAAAATCGAGCATATTTTAGCGTGACATATTTTCGTGAAATAAAATCTCTCAAAGTCATCATCATTATCATCATCTCACGTGGCTTCTATTCTTTCACTGCCATTCCATCACCAGTCCTATCCTTCGGCCATGAGTCCTGGGCAAGCTCACTTCGATTTCGATTTGAAGCTTTCGTGACTGCAGGGATTCATCTTCTTGGTTCTTTCGGTAAAGTCACGTAGAAGGAAAATAATAAAATAATAAAAATGAAACATAATATAAATTTCGATTTGAAGCTTTCGTGACTGCAGGGATTCATCTTCTTGGTTCTTTCGGTAAAGTCACGTTGGAAAATAAAACATAATAAAATAATTCTCATTATTTTATTATGTTTTATATTTTATTATTTCCTTTCTACGAAGCTCACTTAGTTTTCTTGGAAGTCGACACGATGCCTCTGTACAACTCGAGTGCCTTTTTATGTCTTTCGGTGTCATTCACGACACACAGCTCATGATGCTAATTTGTGTCCGGTACGTTTCGCCGATTGATCTTACCTTCTTCGTCACAATGTTCATGTCTCTGATCCGCGTGTCACAGCAGGTGGTACGGCATAGTATATTCACGATTCTCTAATAGCAGTGCATCATCGCCTTATGTTGGGAATGGTCCGTGGAAGAAGATATCATAGAACTCATTCTGAAAGCTTTGACCTCTTATCCATGCCTATGGGGATAGCACCTTCCACCTGCCCTGCTATATATATTACGAGAAAATTATATATTCAGTTCTGAAATTGAACCGAATAAAGAACATGACCAAGCTTCAAGTTTATTTTGTTTAACCAGATGAGAACTCAACAGTATCGCGTCACGCGCAAGAGTCGCCTGGGGCTTTAGTGGGAAGTGGAGGCAGTGTGTGTCACCCAATGAGTGAGTGACAAAGGATGAACTACGGCAACATTTGCCACCTGTGTGATATCACGTTGGTTAACGCTGCCTGTGTGCCGATTGTCTGCGCTGTGCAGGTGTTGGAGCCAGAACAACAACTTGAGTTACTGGTGGATCATACGTTCTGCCATTCTCTTGGCCAACGTGGTAAGCATCAGGGCAGACTTATTGAGGTCTTCTATCAGAAAATGACGCATGTAAAACGAGTGGTTCAGGTCATGAAAACATTTTAATTAACTCAGAGCTTAATATAATGCTGCCCAAGAGTATGCCATCGTCCGATTCACCGCGTTAACACTTCCCTGCATACTACGAACACTTTAATAATTTCCGTGATGAGACGTATCGAGATGAATCCCACTAAACTCGATATATTTGAACATCGCAGATGTTTTAAATTTTTTAAAATAATAATGCTGATTTGCATTTGACATAATTCTGATGGTTAAGTGGTTTATAAAGGGAACACTAAACTTCACGATTTCAAACTGATGTTTAGTCTTTGGTTTGAAACTATGATTCTCAACTTTGTAGCTTTAAAATTCTACAATCCATTGCTTGCGTGGTGTGTAAGTTTTTCTGGAGCGTAGACGTGTACCTGGCATAAATAAGTTTCTGACGAGATGAGATTTCTGATATTTTTAAATCCAGTGCCGAGAATTAATTTTCCCGATTAACTTTTCTCCACGGCACTTGTTGATTTTACCAGATGAGCTGTCACCACTTGTCTGCGAAGGGATTTCGCATGAACAATTCAATTTGCCCTCATCATAAAGGTCACTGCGTATCAGCAGGATTAAAGGAAATGTGATCAGGAACAGCTAAAGGCAAAGCAACGCGATGTGTATACATTTGACAAATGTACAGCACATTGTAGATGTTTCATTCGGTACCTGGTGGGTGCTGCCATGCTGTGACGATCAGCGCCACGTGACCAGCAATGCAGAGGTCGCCGGTTGAATTCCATCTCCCGGTGCGACGGTTGAAATAGATAAGGCCAAGATTATTAAATCAATCTCACCGGCAGGTCACCTTGCCGTACCAAATGGTCATACCGCAGTGTGTCAGTCGGCAGGTCGTGTGTGGTGGGGCAGAGTGTGGCTAACTGGCACTTCTTCCAGGATGTCTGGTTAGTACGAAAGAGTCGGGGGGCTCTCTAGAGCTCGCTGTAGTGGTGGCTCCTTCCGGCAGCAGTGGCCATGAGTAGGCAATTGCAGGGCTGCACCTTGACCCTTGCTTGTTGTCTAACAGGAGTTTTTGTTGTGTTATTTCAGATAAACTTTGTGATTTTCATAAGAATTCTCAAGATTCTCATCTCCAAGCTGAGGGCGCATCAGATGGGGTACACCGACTACAAATTTCGGTATGTGTGAATGTTAAATGCTGCGCGCGCACACACATACGCATTGCGTATATTATTTGCCAACCCAACTCAAATTAGAGAATTAATAAATGACGCTCGGTTCTAGATAAATCTTTTAAATCACCGCTTTAATCGCTCGTCAAATATATGAATTTGAAACACAAATTTAACGTCGTCGTATCCCACGAAATGGAGATCACATGGCTCGGGTTCAGAAATTGAAAACCGTGCCAGTAACGATTCACCCTCTATCCCGATTCGATGAATTTAAAGATTCAGTTTAGCGATTTTACTCAATCGTCGATTATTATTTTTATGATAATATTTTTCTAACGCGATGACTGCAGGGGTCAGAGCTGTAACATTTATTCGATAACGTAAAAAAAATCGATTAATCGATTAAAAGTTATAATCGATTAGGTCGATTGCACAGGGCCACTTTAAAAAAATATATATATTGCGGCAGCCCCTACAAAGCCATGCCTAGCGTGACGTGCCTGGTGATGCCGGTGACATCACGAAGCCCCACCCATGACCTCCCGTCCAGCAACACACACAGGAACAGAATTTAAACTTTTTTTTCCCTGGGTCCTCCGTAATTTTTTTCCCTCCACGTTCAGCAACACGCGTTTAGAACATTCGGCTGCTGTACATTTCCACACAATGAGCCAATTCGTCGAGCTATTTCTAGCCAGTTCGCTTCTACAAAAAGAGCTATACAGCTCAGTGAGCCTTACCTGGTAAAATATAAATGTTTAAAAGTTTACTTGAAGTAGATCCCTTCCGCCCGCAGTGGTTAGAGCAAGCAACTGCAGGGCTGTGCATTTTACCTTCGAACAATCGATGAAACCTAACGCATCGTAACATCGTCTTCACACACCCCTTGTTGCCCGTGCCCTGCGTTGAGGTTGGCCAAATCGACGCTCACCCTCATCCCGCTGCTGGGCATCCACGAAGTGGTGGTGGCGCTCATCACCGACGAGCAGGCGCGGGGAGCTCTGCGGATTCTCCGGCTCTTTTACCTGCTCTTCCTCAACTCCTTCCAGGTGAACGCCGACTCGCACGGGAGCTGCGGCCGGACACGCTGGCAAATTGGCACCTGGGACAAGCTGCAATCCTTGCACACACCCCCACCCCCCACTGCCTCCGCCTTGTGCAATGTCACGGGGCAATCGCGCAAGCCGCTGGGAGATTACTTCTCGGAAAGGAGTGATGTTTTTTTATATAAAATTGTGGGTGAATGACTTGAACTAACCCCCATAGTGCCGCTCCTCCCACCCCCACCCCCCCCCCCACCGGCAAATCCACAAACGGTCCACCAGAGCCACCCGGCCACGCTGATTCTGAAACAACCGACGGCGTCTGTTTCGTGGCGCCGCGATAATCTCGCGCGGTGTGGGGGGGGGTTGGGTGGGGGAGTTGGGGGGGGGGCACGACCGCATCGCGCGCGCCACTGAGCCACGACGCCGCCAGAGGTCAACTCGTTAACCGGAGAAACAGCATTGGGGCCGCCGCCGCCTTCCGCGGTACAAAAAAAAAACAGCGAGACAATTTCCTCCGCCCGGCAACCTTCCCGCAGGAGTTGCCCAGCAAGGCGGCGGTGGTCTCGATTTTACGCCCCCTTCGAGGTGAAACATTCGCCGACGGCTCGAGAGGCGGACAGTTTTTGTTCCTCGCCGGAATGAGAATTCTCACGGCGACCTCGACGAGCCGAGTTCATTTCCCAGCCCAGAGTGCATTACCGGCGGTCAATCGGCTCTTTCCCGCACAAGGGGTGATGCGTCTGTTTGCGAGTGATAGCCCAGCTGGTCTTAAAAGAAGCCCGCATACTCCCTTCACCCGCTGGCAGTTGGACTGACAACAGCGGGGGGAGGGCCGGTGCTGATTGCCTGGCCATAACAGTTGATCGCTAAGGGCATGCGTACTAGCAGCTTAAAAGGAGGGTAATGTTGGTAATTGCACGCGTGTTTGTGCCCGCGTTGTTGCACCGTGAGAAAATTCATTGCGATTCCACTCAGCACTGCGGTGGGTCGGCTTGACGTCAAACGCCACTCCGATTCAAGCACCCATTTGTCTGTCCTCACCGACAAACAATACGGAAACTCGATAATTGTTTTTTTACCCTTCTATCTGGCAACAAAACTGACACCTTTTTACAAGGAGTCATGTATGCCTAGACCACAATACCTGCAGTCATAATGCAAACAAAAAACATAACTCTGTATGCACTGTCCTTGAAGTTGATTGGTCCACACCCGAGACAGCTTTCCTTAGAGCCTAGTCTCACATGGTGTTGGACCAAATGACGCCAAAAGGCGCACTACTCAAAGACAATGCATAAAAAGGTGTCAGTTTTGTTGCCAGATAGAAGGGTCAAAAACAATTATCATATTTGTACTGGCAAATGAGGTTCCAATGGAATAAGGAAACTCGTTGATAATAATAATGTACAAAAAGACTCTGCGACTTGAATAACACCGTGATGTTGTTTTTGTTGTTCTTCGTTTTTGCGGGGGCCGCAGGGTCTTCTCGTCGCCATTCTTTACTGCTTCGTCACAAGAGAGGTACATGTCGATGGTCAAGCGCTGGCACTGGCTGGGTAATGGGCCGATAGATGCGTGGGGTCTATTGTTGGCACTTTCCGGTGAGAGTGATCAAAATATGGAGGCTCGTGTTGTTACTGTTGTTACTATTAATTTTAATTTTATTTTTTTACCTACGTGACTTTACCGAAAAAGTTACTGGCTTGTATGAGTAATGGATGTATGGGGTCTATACTGCTCATGTTGGGGCTAGGGTTGTTGCGATATGATTTCTACGATAAATTGTGTAATATAATATCAACAATAATGATAAAGTCTGTTTTGCAAATTAGCGTTACGTCGTGATTGTTGATGCTCATTAAATTTTCCACGGTATTTTATTCCCTGACATATAAATATCCCAAGCAATCGACAATGCGGTGATTATACGAATCGGTCATTTTTGTAATTCGTGTAATTGTTACATTATTTTAGGTTTAACACGCGGGTAGGCTTTCGCGACCAATATCATCCATAATCCCGTTTTTTTTGGGTTAGATCACGTGACGAATTGGCACGTTCTGTTTACGTGACGAACCTTACTAATTGGCCGTGTCGAGTGGTGGCGGGTTTAACGACACATTAATTTATTTACGCGATCTAACCCCCCAAAAAAACACCCGTATTACGTACGTTATTTTTGCTTGCTGTGACCGAGAGAATGCACATTGTACGAAATAATCTTCGTCGTTGTGGGGAATATTAATAAAATAGGCAGCCAATGCATTTCATTCAAATCCTCGTCCCTTCACGTAAAGCGAAAAAATTGTGTTTTTCCCCCCACAAATCCCATTGGCCAACACAGCCTCCTGCAGCATTTCAGCAGCGTTGGTATCGACGCAAGCAAAACTCCGTACCGGCTCCGACATTCACTGTCTCATCATAAGTGTGTATATCGTGTGCTTGTACGCCGGTACTGTATATCATGAAATACGACACTGTGGCAACGATAGCTTTGGCCTCAGTGATGAGCCAATTCACAAATGGTCCGGGGGAGACTAAGGAATGGCGTGCCCTGAGAAATTCGATCAGTGTTGTTTGCAGCGTTAGTGTAGCGGCCCACGCCCTGCGCTACGGACCTGGTGACCTGGGTTAGGATTGACATCCATGGCCAAACATCGATGGCGAGTGGCATCTGGACCGATCCTGGGACTCCCCCTGCCTCGTCAACACACACGTTGACTTAGAGGGGTCAAACGTGGTCAAACTTTCATCCAGCTGTGGATCCGCAGGTGCGGATTTTTTTCTTTTCCTCTGCCATTCCTCCTCTGTGGATACCAATAACGCCTCCACGATGTGATTCTTTTTTCTGGTTGTACTGCGTGCCGAAGGGCCACGCGGTACAACGCGAAAACCCCTTGGAGATCTGCGACAGCGCAGACGCGACAAACCTTACATTTCGATTTAAAGTTTTCGTGACTACAGGGATTCATCTTCTTGGTTTTTTCGGTAAAGTCACGTAGAATGGAAATAAAAAAATAAAATAAAAAAACATAATAAAATAATAATGAGAATTATTATACGTGACTTTACCGAAAGAACCAAGAAGGCGACAAACCTTCGCGGAGTAAAAAATAAAAACCTACAATTTCTATTCGCCTGTCTGGGGGAACAATTGAAAAAAAAGCGTCGAAAAGGGAGGAATTGAAAAAAGTGATGCCCTGAGAATTTTACTTCCATGACATTTGGATGTCTTTGCCTTAGAGCACAGAGAGAGAGAGAGAGGGCAGAGCATTTACTGTGGTTGTAGATTTATAGGACACCGGAGACAGGTTTGGGACGATTCAAGTCGTCTGCATCTAAACTTAAACTAAAAACCAAAATATTTTTATTTAACCAGGTAGTATGGCCCACTGAGCTATATAGCTCTTCTTCAGAAGCGACCTGACCACAAATGATAGCTCAACAAAGTAGCTTATCACGTGGAAATTGGCCACCAAATTATATAAACGCATGTTGATTCGAAATATAGAAGGAAAAACCGGAGGACCTGGAGAAAAATCCACGCAACCACGGAGAGAGAGACACGCAGACTCCAAATATACAGCAGGCGTCAGTGTCGGGATTGAACCCACGACCTCCTGTATACCAGGCGAGGTAGTTAACATCTCCTAGCCACCGTGATGATGATGATGAGAGAGAGAGAGACACGCAGACTCCAAATATACAACAGGCGTCAGTGTCGGGATTGAACCCACGACCTCCTGTATACCAGGCGAGACGGTTAACATCTCGCCACTGCGGCGTCTTCGCAGGTTCAGGCCGAAGTCCGCAAGCGCTGGCACCGGTGGCGGCTGGGCCAAGACCTGCAAGGGCGCCACATGTACATCAGCGTCACGCGCCTGCGCCCCTCCATCGGCCGCGCGGGCAACGGCGACGCCGGCGAGAAGCGGGACGACGGCTCGCCACCCTTCGGTGCGGGGCTGGAGGCGGCGGCGGCGGTGGCGGGGAGTGGGACGGCGGAGACGTTGGGGGAAGCTGCGGCTGGAGGTGGATTTTTGCCTCTGAGGCAGGTGGTCTGCGGGCGCGCTTTCCTCGACGAGCGGAAGACGGAGAGCGATTCCGGGGGGACTCTCACTGACGGCGACCTCGCGCCGGCGCTGGTGACGGAAACGCGGCCGTAGTGACCCCCTTTGTGTCGAGGTTCACGCTGACCGGTCGATTCAAGAAACGTATTCACGCGCACGTATTCAATTACTTCACTTCAAGAGGACCGTTTGGATGCTGGATCCTTTGGCGTTCTAGGCCCTCTGGGCCCTGTGCTCAGCAGCGGTGATTTAAAACAAACATATTTTTTTTGTCCGTGATTATTAAGTTATAAAGGGGGTGTCCTTAAAAACGTTGACTTTAAAGGGTACTCAAGATTTTAAGCAGCGAGATTCGCAAGAGGTGACGGACACCCGTTTTTTTTATAAGGCAAACGAAGACGACGAAATGAGAAAAAACCTCAACTTCTGCCGCTACATCAAAGTGGTCTCCGGTCACCTGAACAATAGCTATGAATATTTATTGCGAAACCTCCCGCAATACGGACGTTCATAGAACAGGTTTGGGTTGATATACTGAGCGAGATTGAGAGAGCACTCCAGAGAACACCAGAGCTTTAAAACAACAGCAACCAGTGGAAACTGATCTTAACAGAACAATGTACAGAGACTCCTCTACTTACGAACATTCGAATTACGAACTTTCAGAGATATCGAAAAAATGTGTCCGTATGTCCAGTAGGGCTGAACGATTAATTGATTTCAAATCGAAATGGCAATTTGAAACAATGCGATTAGCAAATCGCAAAGGCTGCGATTTTTTTGCGATTTGAAAAGTCCTAGTACGTTCTTATTGGAATTGTTTTTATTTTGTATTATAACTTTATTTATTGAACTTAACAATCGTTCTATGTTTGATTGTGCTATTTCAATTTAAACATTGTAATGAATACATGTTGGAAGCAATTAATATATTTTAAGTTATCAGCCTTGCATTAGAATATATAGAGCAGTTCCTATTTTTAATGGTATCATGTGATAATGCTCCATCACATGTTTTAAATCTATTACACAGTGAATATTGAACTGAAGCTTGACTTAAAGTAATCGCAAATCAAATTGCAATATCTGTCAGAAAAATCTCAATTACATATTTTCCCCAAATCGTTCAGCCCTAATGTCCAGTTGACTGTCCGGACCGAGAGTCGTGAGTTCAACCGCGGAGCAATAAATGGCGGTGGTTGTTTGCTGTCATTACCCAGCATTCCCAGCATATTCTGCCTGGACCGCCGACGTTCTCTGTGCTTTTCACGAACACGATGCTCTTGCCTGTTACAAGTTGATTTATGAAGAGAAGAAGAGAGCAACTGTGCAGACACCTCTTGGTCAGTTTGTCAAGAGAGTAGAGAGGAAACACGAGCACCAAAGGGAATTGGCATCTACATCTGCAGAACGCGAAGAACCAGTGGCATCTACATCTGCAGAACGCGAAGAACCAGTGGCATCTACATCTGCAGAACGTGAAGAACCGGTGGCATCTACATCTGCAGAACGCGAAGAACCAGTGGCATCTACATCTGCAGAACGCGAAGAACCAGTGGCATCTACGTCTGCAGAACGCGAAGAACCAGTGGCATCTTCATCTGCAGAACGCGAAGAACCAGTGGCATCTACATCTGCAGAACGCGAAGAACCAGTGGCATCTACATCTGCAGAACGTGAGGAACCAGTGGCATCTACGTCTGCAGAACCAGTGGCATCTACATCTGCAGAACGTGAAGAACCAGTGGCATCTACATCTGCAGAACGCGAAGAACCAGCGGCATCTACATCTGCAGAACTCGAAGAACCAGCGGCATCTACATCTGCAGAACGCGAAGAACCAGCGGCATCTACATCTGCAGAACGCGAAGAACCAGCGGCATCTACATCTGCAGAACGCGAAGAACCAGCGGCATCTACATCTGTAGAACGCGAAGAACCAGTGGCATCTACGTCTGCAGAACGCGAAGAACCAGTGGCATCAACATCTTCAGAACGCGAAGAACCAGCGGCATCTACATCTGCAGAACGCGAAGAACCAGCGGCATCTACATCTGTAGAACGCGAAGAACCAGTGGCATCTACATCTGCAGAACGCGAAGAACCAGTGGCATCTACATCTGCAGAACGCGAAGAACCAGTGGCATCTACATCTGCAGAACGCGAAGAACCAGTGGCATCTACATCTGCAGAACGCGAAGAACCAGTGGCATCTACATCTGCAGAACGCGAAGAACCAGTGGCATCTACATCTGCAGAACGCGAAGAACCAGTGGCATCTACGTCTGCAGAACGCGAAGAACCAGTGGCATCTACATCTGCAGAACGCGAAGAACCAGTGGCATCTGCATCTGCAGAACGCGAAGAACCAGTGGCATCTACGTCTGCAGAACGCGAAGAACCAGTGGCATCTACATCTGCAGAACGCGAAGAACCAGTGGCATCTACGTCTGCAGAACGCGAAGAACCAGTGGCATCTACATCTGCAGAACGCGAAGAACCAGTGGCATCTACATCTGCAGAACGCGAAGAACCAGTGGCATCTACATCTGCAGAACGCGAAGAACCAGTGGCATCTACATCTGCAGAACGCGAAGAACCGGTGGCATCTACATCTGCAGAACGCGAAGAACCAATGGCATCTGCATCTGCAGAACGCGAAGAACCAGTGGCATCTACGTCTGCAGAACGCGAAGAACCAGTGGCATCTACATCTGCAGAACGCGAAGAACCAGTGGCAACTACATCTGCAGAACGCGAAGAACCAGTGGCATCTACATCTGCAGAACGCGAAGAACCAGTGGTATCTACATCTGCAGAACGCGAAGAACCAGTGGCATCTACATCTGCAGAACGCGAAGAACCAGTGGCATCTACATCTGCAGAACGCGAAGAACCAGTAGCATCTACATCTGCAGAACGCGAAGAACCAGTGGCATCTACATCTGCAGAACGCGAAGAACCAGTGGCATCTACATCTGCAGAACGCGAAGAACCAGTGGCATCTGCATCTGTAGAACGCGAAGAACCAGTGGCATCTACATCTGCAGAACGCGAAGAACCAGTGGCATCTACATCTGCAGAACGTGAAGAACCAGTGGCATCTACATCTGCAGAACGCGAAGAACCAGTGGCATCTACATCTGCAGAACGCGAAGAACCAGTGGCATCTACATCTGCAGAACGCGAAGAACCAGTGGCATCTACATCTGCAGAACGCGAAGAACCAGTGGCATCTACATCTGCAGAACGCGAAGAACCAGTGGCATCTGCATCTGTAGAACGCGAAGAACCAGTGGCATCTACATCTGCAGAACGCGAAGAACCAGTGGCATCTACATCTGCAGAACGCGAAGAACCAGTGGCATCTGCATCTGTAGAACGCGAAGAACCAGTGGCATCTACATCTGCAGAACGCGAAGAACCAGTGGCATCTACATCTGCAGAACGCGAAGAACCAGTGGCATCTACATCTGCAGAACGCGAAGAACCAGTGGCATCTGCATCTGCAGAACGCGAAGAACCAGTGGCATCTACATCTGCAGAACGCGAAGAACCAGTGGCATCTGCATCTGCAGAACGCGAAGAACCAGTGGCATCTGCATCTGCAGAACGCGAAGAACCAGTGGCATCTGCATCTGCAGAACGCGAAGAACCAGTGGCATCTACTTCTGCAGAACGCGAAGAACCAGTGGCATCTGCATCTGCAGAACGCGAAGAACCAGTGGCATCTGCATCTGCAGAACGCGAAGAACCAGTGGCATCTGCATCTGCAGAACGCGAAAAACCAGTGGCATCTACATCTGCAGAACGCGAAGAACCAGTGGCATCTGCATCTGCAGTACGCGAAGAACCAGTGGCATCTGCATCTGCAGAACGCGAAGAACCAGTGGCATCTGCATCTGCAGAACGCGAAGAACCAGTGGCATCTGCATCTGCAGAACGCGAAGAACCAGTGGCATCTACATCTGCAGAACGCGAAGAACCAGTGGCATCTGCATCTGCAGAACACGAAGAACCAGTGGCATCTGCATCTGCAGAACGCGAAGAACCAGTGGCATCTGCATCTGCAGAACGCGAAGAACCAGTGGCATCTGCAGAACGCGAAGAACCAGTGGCATCTACATCTGCAGAACGCGAAGAACCAGTGGCATCTGCATCTGTAGAACGCGAAGAACCAGTGGCATCTACATCTGCAGAACGCGAAGAACCAGTGGCATCTGCATCTGCAGAACGCGAAAAACCAGTGGCATCTACATCTGCAGAACACGAAGAACCAGTGGCATCTACATCTGCAGAACGCGAAGAACCAGTGGCATCTGCATCTGCAGAACGCGAAGAACCAGTGGCATCTGCATCTGCAGAACGCGAAGAACCAGTGGCATCTGCATCTGCAGAACGCGAAGAACCAGTGGCATCTACATCTGCAGAACGCGAAGAACCAGTGGCATCTACATCTGCAGAACACGAAGAACCAGTGGCATCTACATCTGCAGAACGCGAAGAACCAGTGGCATCTGCATCTGCAGAACGCGAAGAACCAGTGGCATCTGCATCTGCAGAACGCGAAGAACCAGTGGCATCTGCATCTGTAGAACGCGAAGAACCAGTGGCATCTACCTCTGCAGAACGCGAAGAACCAGTGGCATCTGCATCTGCAGAACGCGAAGAACCAGTGGCATCTGCATCTGCAGAACGTGAAGAACCAGTGGCATCTACATCTGCAGAACTGAAGAACCAGTGGCATCTACATCTGCAGAACGCGAAGAACCAGTGGCATCTGCATCTGCAGAACGTGAAGAACCAGTGGCATCTACATCTGCAGAACTGAAGAACCAGTGGCATCCACATCTCCAGAACGCAAAGAACCAGTGGCATCTACATCTGTAGAACGTGAAAAACCAGTGGCATCTACATCTGCAGAACTGAAGAACCAGTGGCATCTACATCTGCAGAACGCGAAGAACCAGTGGCATCTACATCTGCAGAACGCAAAGAACCAGTGGCATCTACATCTGTATAACATGAATAACCAGTGGCATAAATGTCTGCAGAACGTGAATAACCAGTGGCATCTCCATCTGCAGAGCGTGAAGAACCAGTGGCATCTACATCTGCAGA